GTACTGCGCACGAGACACTTGACTGCGTTTCCACGATGATGTATTCTCGTTGTCCCATGCTACTACTATTCTTCTTCCCTGTTTTTCTCCCTCTTCGTTTCCTTTTTTTTCTTTTCTCTCTGACTCTTTGAGAGCAGACGTTTCACATAATCGCCGACGTCCGTCGTCAAAACGCACGTATACATATAACTCCCACGACATATCGCGTGGTATATAGACTACACATTCGCCACCCGCGCGGCGCTCAGCACGCCCCCAACTTACATGGACAAAGGGTGCAACATCAAGACAAAGCGGCGACGACGACGACACGCGCGGCGCGCCCGCTTCTTCCCGTCTACTCTAGGTGATACCCTCCCGCAGTCGTCTTTCTTCTCTTTCCAGGTCCTGTGTAACCGTGCGACCACTGGGAGACGAAGCACTGGCCAAGCCGGGAGGAAGATTTTGCCAGAATTCGAGCCTCGCCGATCCACGGCCTGGCGTATGTAGACAGGTCTCCAAAGAAAGAGTACGGAGCCCTCCCACTCTGTACAGGGATCTGGGTTTTCCAAATTTAGAGCAGTCTATCCACGGCGATCAATCCATAGGCATGTCAATCAACCACCTCACCTATTACAATACCACCTAAACAGCTTTTCTTTCTCGCCGCAAAAGTTTTGGAGCAGATCTGGAGTATAAGGTATCCACGTGTGGTCAAAAAGTTGAGACAACAAGATAGGCCTGGGGCGGCTTTGGCTCCCGCGGCTCGCACTCGCAATTAGACTTGTGCCAAGTTCTTGTTTGAGAAACGAAAAAAGATAGAGTCAACCTTCACACCCTCCGGCCACGCATCTTGGAAGGAAGTGATGCCTGCCCGCTGGAGGGGTAAGTTACCGTCCGACAACTCTGGCCAAGCCACGATTCATGCCGTCCCGCCGTCCCGGTCGTCGTCCCAAATGATACCTATCTAATGATAACGAGCGTCGAGCGCCCAGCAACGGCTGGAGCCCCCAACGTCATTCACATGGAGAGTGCGCAAGCCACAGCGTGCCGAGGACAGCGAGCCACACTATCCTGGCATTGCTTGCTTACAGAGGCGGGCCTTTGTCTTGAGACATGACTTGCGAACTCTAAGGCGTCTCGAGAACCTGATTCGCCGTATAGCTGCTGGATGACTAGCCGTGAAATCTTGGATCAGTAAATACTGTTAGCTTCGACTCGCCCGAGTCGAAACGAAAAGGACAATGACCACAGAAGCGGGAACGCCGTCGGGTCCAACGTGTATTCCAACGGGGTTTTGGTGTTAGTGAGTGCGTCTACCCTGTGACTGTCACGGGCTAGACGAGAGCTATGGTGCGGTTTAGACGGCCTGATGAGACTTATTCATTGGATGACGGGCCCAAGATGAACGCGGGGAGGCCTGTTCGTAGTTGAGACTTTGGAGAGGAGTGCTGGATGGGTCAGCGTTTCATTTGAACGTTGGAGAATATGTCTGATGGGTCGGAGGGCCAGCTGACGGGGATGTACGGAAGAAAAGTGAAACCGTAAGGCGGAGAGAGCGCGGATGGTTGGCTGGCTGGTGAGCCACCACACATCTTGAATGGCGACGGGAGTAGTGTAGACATCGGATGATGGGTACGACAGCACGACAGGTAGCGTTGAGAGGAGGCAGTCCGTATCGAATGGCAAGCAGAAGCGGTATCCCAGCCGGTTGCCGCGTGAGGAGGCATTTGTTGGTTGACTTCCCACATGGAACGGAGCGGGGCGGTCTTTCACCGCATCTCGGGCGGCATCGCGGCGGTGGGGGATAAAACGAGCCGGACTGTAGCGCCGCTGCAGGTCCAAGCCGGTACGGGCAAGGTTCTGCTGCAGGAAGAATGGCAATTGGACGGCGGCGCCTCCAGCACCTGCAACGGGTGCATACGCGTGGGTTCGTGTTGGTGATCCTCCATTTTTCAACCTTCTCAAGCCTTTTTTTCTTCTTCTCCGTTGAACAGGCGACTAACGGCGTGCCATTGGATGCTCTGAATGGGCTAGCGGCATGGTGCTTGGGCCACAGTTTATGCTGTTATGCCTTTGCCGAGGAAGAGAATTTTCGCAGGATTGAAATGGTAATTGTGATGGTTTGCAGGGAAATACACATTCATGCCATGTGGGACGCGTGAACATGTCGTCGAGCGGACCACTGTGTATGCCGGTCGCCAAGAATAAAGCGTGAGGGACAGCCTTGTGTTGAATAGATGCCGTCGTGGGAATAGTACCAAGTATCGATATGTCTCGTCAATTTTTCTCGAAGGACGCTCTCAATTGCCGACAAGCAACCGATGTTCACGTTTTGAAATGTGGAATGTGGGATTCAACACGATTCAGGGTGTGTCGAGTGTATTCGCCTGATGCGCTTGCGTAGACAATGCCGACTGTGTGAAGACTGGATTGGACATCAACGGGCGACGAGCCATATCCGTCGTCTCCCAGTCAGACATATCTCAGACTTGGTCGTTGCCCCTTGTTTGGAGGTTTCAAGGCTCCCTTGAAAGGGGTCGTCGGCCGATGGAAAGTGAAGAGCAAGGCCTGTTGTGGCTAGGATATGAACTTCCTCCTTCACGGGGACAAAGCGAGATATGCGGCGGACGCAGACTAGGCCGTCAGCGGACCTCGATCCCCGCACAGGGCACACGCCGTGTGTTTTCTAGGGTCGTTTCTAGCGCGACTTTCCACTGCTGTTTGGGCTTGGCTTGGCTTGGGATTGCCGCAATGCCTACGGGCAAAGGAACATGCAACATCCTGGACGAGATAGGCGCGAGCGTGTGTCCCCGTTTCCCCTGGCGTACCTATCGTTGGGTGGACTATCCGCTGGTGTCTGCCATGACCCTTGCCCGCGGTACAGCGTCTGTGTCTCCCTCCCGTAGTCGTCCGCTCGTAGAACACCTACGGCACAGCACAGCACAGCACAGAGACTGAGAGTGAATGGCGGGGCCGATAGGCAGAATATCTGTACAGATGCCTGGCAGACAGACGACGGGCCGCGGGTGGCTGGAGTTCAGATGAGGATGGATGCAGAGGGCGGACGCCGGAGTTCCGTACTAGTTCAGATCTCCTATCTTGAGGTGCAATGAAAAGGAGTTCGTTTTCCTTCGAGATTGGGACGAGACGAGACGAGAAGAGACGAATACGGCGTGGGTTCTCGAGCAAGGTCATATAGGTGGTAAAAAAGAGGATACGGGCAACGAGCAGTTGGGAGAGAGGGAAGATGTTGGATGGGACTGCGAACTGGAGCCGATTGAGAGGGGCAGACCAGGTTACGGTTTAGTAGACGGTAGACGGTAGACCCCAAAACAGAAGTCGACTCCGGTACATGGGAAATTGGTGGGAGATTGGGTTGACGACAGGTACCGGCCTGCCAGGCCGTTCTTGCCCTTGGCCTTGGCAGAGGGGAATCCACCTTGAATGGTCAGGTTGCTAGGTCCGCCAGAGTTGTCGGTAAGGCAAGGTAAAGGTAAGGTACTTTCCCTCCCCGACAAGTATCTTGGGATGTATCCGTCCACGTACAGAATACCTCCACCTCTTTTGCGTCTAGAACCTCAGTAATCAGGCACTAGTGGCCGTCTTCCCCTTTGTGAGGTGACACGCCATTGCCATCAGCTGGTCTGTGCTTGATTTTGTTGGTGTCGGTGTCCGTTCACACGATGCTCAAGCCGGTCAGGTACCTTAGCAAAAGTGAAGGCAGGGCCAGTTGCTCAATGCTTTCCCTTTCTTAGGTACCCGTCCTCCTCAGGTACCTTATCCAACCAGTATTCGGACTTATCCAGATACGTACCACCGATCTTACGGACATTCAGAGAGACCTTATTTCTATCCGTAACCATTCACCATTCTGTACGGGACAAATTCTAGACATGCCGGAGGGAGGCCGGGAGGCAGCTCGGAGCGGCCGTACAGCTCTCATGCCATTTTCAATCTGGACCAATCCAAAGTCGAGTGCTCTGTAGCTTGTCCTGCGTTTGATGATCGATATGTTAGGTTGTCGCGAAAGCCCGTTTGTGTTTATGCTCCCAATACACCAATCTCCCAATCTTCTTCTCCGAGTTGTTCCAAAATTCCGAAAGTCCTCTTCCACTCACCGTGCCATTCGGCGCCGGCCCCCTCGTCCGTTGAAATTAGACATTAGATCCATTCCCTACCCCCTCGACAGACAGCTGCCCACACGTTCGTCGTTCGTGGCTCTTTTTTCTCGCTTCCCCCCCTCGACCGTCGTTGCTCACTTTACCAATCCTGGAAACTGGACTTGGGACCTGGACCTTGAACCCAGAACTGATCTGACCCCCCCCCCCCCCCATCGTTCATTGAATGTGAAGTGTGGGCCACGGTGAGCGTTGCAAGGCAGGTTTAGTTATTGAGAGGTTGAGGTGTCGCTTGTAATTTCACCTGGACCGTTGACGACACCGGCTGCACGGAATACGGAGTAGCATCTCACCTTTCTCGATCTATCTCTCCCTCTTTTTCTCTATCTTCCTCCTCTTCTTCTTCTTTCCTTCCCTTTTCCTTCCCTCCTAGTCGCGCTCCTCTTCGCCTCGACAAGCCTCGATCGGAGACGATTCACCGGCACAATCCGACAACGGCGAGATACGACTCAGCCTTCGCACCGCCTCCCTGCTGTCGCCCCCCGAGACAAGACATTCCAACAACAACGGACGAATTAAAGCGTTAGATTAGGCTGTTTGCCCACGACAGGAAATCAGATCAGCAGCACCGACAGAAAGGAGAGCCTGCGAATAGAGCAGGACAGGAATAGGTTGATCTCAGCCCAAAGGCAGAAACAGGAACATTCAGATCCTAGGTGAGTAAGAAAACAGGGAGGCTGTGATGAGAGCCCACCCGCTGCTGCACAGCACAAGGCGGCATCCAACGAACGGATGGACGCCTCAGCACAAGCAACACCCGATCGGATTGTACCCTGCACATTGCACAATGCACCCTTGCCTGGACCATCACCGCCTGTGTCCGTACCCTCATTCTCCCGCCCCCTTTCTCTCTTGCCCTCAGCTTCGGCCTCAGGCCAAGGCTAGGCGATTCGTGTACTGGGCTTGCGCGCGCGCGCGTGCGTGTGTGTATGCTGTGGTGTGGTGCGTGGTGAGTGTTGGTGTGTGTGAGTAAGAGAGAGAGACCGGCCCGGCACCGAGCCAACAATTTCGCTGGGCGCTGGCTTGCACAGCACAACAGCAGCAACATGCCTGTGCAGGCACCACCAACGGCACCACCTCACCTCAATATTTTTATTTTATTTTTATTTCTTTTCTGCTGCAGAGTATCCGTACCTTCCCTCCCGTCTCCCTCTTCGCTCTCCATCTGCACTACACCTCCAGGCTCCGGCACCACCCCAAGTTCCTCCTCAACCAGTTACCTACTACCTCACCTCACTCCGTACCCAGCGGCTACCTGCCAGTGACAGCCCTGGGAAGCCCCAAGCCCAGCAGCCTAGCCCGGTCCAGCCCATCCTTTTCCCGCCAGCTGCTTCGCACTCCCCGTGCAGTGCATGTGGTCCGGGGGGGCGGATTACCCACTGAAATCACTTGTCTGCGGCTGCCATCCGTCCACCTGCCCCAAATTTCCATCCATTCTCTCCCAGTCCTCCCCCATCCATCCTTTCCTTTCCTGAAATCCTCTTCCAAGCAACCACAACCACGCAACCACCCCCTTCCCGTCCTCTCGGCCTGATTTCGCCTCCCCGAAACCAAGTCAGCTCAAATGGGCATCGGGATAACGAGCAGTTAGCTGACCTGCGACCCTCATCATCCTTTTAGACATATCGTCCTTTTTTTTTCCCACCTTCATACACCAACCCCCGATCGACTCCATCAGACCGCCTCGACCGACAACCGACACGATTGAACCGAGCATCCAGGCCCAGCCTTTGCCCCGACACTACGGTCCGTAAGAGGACGTAGGCCTTCGACGCAATGGCTTCCTCATCGAGCAACGTCGTCGGCGTGCACTACCGTGTGGGAAAGAAGATTGGAGAGGGATCTTTCGGTGTTATTTTTGAGGGCACCAACCTCCTGAATAACCAACAGGTCGCCATCAAATTCGTACGTCGCCGACTTCACTCAATCAGATACCGCGTCGTTCAAGGGCGTCGCGGTCGCTCAACATTGCTTCAACATCGTGCTAATATTCTTCCTCGTCGTAGGAGCCGCGTAAAAGCGACGCACCTCAATTGCGAGATGAGTATCGGACGTACAAGATTCTCGTCGGATGCCGTATGTTCATTCCACAATCTCTCGCCCGATGGCATTACTGACTTTTTTGAAGCTGGCATTCCCAACGTCTACTACTTCGGACAGGAGGGTCTGCACAACATCCTCGTGATCGACCTTCTCGGTCCCTCCCTCGAGGATCTCTTCGACCACTGCGGCCGAAGGTTCACCATCAAGACCGTCGTCATGGTTGCCAAGCAGATGGTGAGTTACGCCAGCCTTATCATAATGTCAATCGACTAACCAATGATACAGCTGTCGAGAGTGCAAACCATTCACGAGAAGAACCTGATCTACCGTGACATCAAGCCCGACAACTTCCTGATCGGCAGACCGGGCACCAAAGCCGCCAACGTGATCCACGTTGTCGATTTCGGCATGGCCAAGCAGTACCGCGATCCTAAGACGAAGCAGCACATCCCTTACAGAGAGCGAAAGTCGTTGTCCGGTACCGCCCGATACATGAGTATCAACACCCATCTAGGTCGCGAACAATCCCGCCGTGATGATCTCGAGGCTCTCGGTCACGTCTTCATGTACTTCCTTCGTGGCGGTCTTCCCTGGCAAGGACTGAAGGCTGCAACAAACAAGCAGAAGTACGAGAAGATTGGTGAGAAGAAGCAGACCACCCCTATCAAGGACCTCTGCGAAGGATTTCCCGATGAGTTCAACAAGTACTTGACCTACGTACGGAATCTCGGTTTCGAGGACACCCCCGACTACGACTACCTCCGCGAGCTCTTCACACAGGCCCTGAAGAACACCGGCGAGGTCGAGGATGGCGAGTACGACTGGATGAAGATCTCCAAGGACAACGGCAAGGGATGGGATGCCATGAAGGGCCACAACCCCGGATACCTGCACAACCCAAATGCTCGACCCGGCCCGTCTCAGATGGAGCTTCACAGCGGCCATCGGGGCGGTGCTGCAAACCCCAACAACCCCAACAACCTGACAGTCGGCCGTTTAAACGCCGCGCAACCCCCGCCTCCTTCTCCGATCAAGCAGATGGCGAAGTCGAGAGGTCAACCAAACGCCCCCGGCGCCTTGAACGCGCAACGGGGCTCCGGAGTCGGGGGTCTTCGGGACATGGCCACCCCCACCGGCTCAACTCAGGCCCAGTTTCAGAACAGCAACCGCAACCTCCCCCAGAACGTTCCTCAACAGACACCGATGAACCAGCAGCCGGCCCCTCCTAATGGCCGTCCCGCTGAGCCTCAGCCTACAGGCTTCCAAAAGTTCATGAAGGTGCTTTGCTGTGGTATGTATCCCTCTGTGTCTCGCCCATCGTCGGACCGTATCACTAACAATTCTATAGGCTAGAATCTTGGCTTCTGTTTATGTTCGTGTTGCCACAAGGACGGCTAAGACTACACCTCACCACTATATAAATGCCCACTGGACAAACCCAGCCAGATGCCGGATCGATGTTTGAGAAAAATCAGGCGGCCACACCTGGTTGACGACTTCTTCACCACCCACCAATCCCCTTTGTCCGTCACTCTTCATCTTTTCCGACGAAAACTTATTCATCCTCTGAGCTACACTTTTTTCCCGCATGACGACCACGGAGTAGCATCCAGCGCGCACACTGGCTATTCCGGGATAATGACGAACACACTAGCCTTTCTTTCTGGTTTTCTCTTCATCTGTGCTTCGACGACGTCTCTTCTTTTGGAGGCCGTCGGGGCATCATAAAATCACTGGCATGGAAATCTCACCTCGGGAATGGGGACCTTCTTTAACTAAGAACTTTCTGTTTCTAAGGAGAGAAACAAAAAACATACAACTTGATAATGTACAGCGCAGCACGGCGCATGGCGGTTGCAGGGGTTTTTAAGCATTGGGTCAGGTTCTGCCGCACGTTTTCGTTAAAGTTGATAATAGGGCTCGCCGTGTCCGGCACAGCTTGAGGCGACTGCGCTGTTGGGGAGAGAGATTGGTGAATGCGAGACGGCGGTTGAGAGATGTTTTGGGGAGAGAGTTGTGTGGAGGCTGATAGACAGAAGAGAGAGGGATACAATGGACATGAAACTTTACACTACACCATCAATGACTTTTGCGTTTCCTGAAGTGACTTGATACCGTTCCTCGATGTGATGGTGCAGTTGCCGAGCCTGATTATGATGAGTTTACGATATGAGATGCTCGTTTTAGCCTGCCTAGATGATGTAACGTGATGATGGCGAAGCCTGGATCACCAGGGTTTATGCTGCGGAAACAACTTTAACCATTATGGACGACTTTTGCGCCTCCTGTTCTCATTGCCATGGAACATGAACTTGTAAATTAATGCCTGTCTCGGACGTTTTGGGTTGTGTTGGCATTAGTGTTGCTCTGGTCACCAAGTCACCCTATATACATACACATGACAGGCATGATATTCTGCAAGGGTGAATAGGACTACCTTTTGCGGGTACTTTCACTCGGTTACGAGATCTATGCCAATGTAGGCCAGGTACTGTGAATGAATCGTGATGAAATGTGAGGCTTGGCAAGGATGATGCGAGACTGGATATGCGCGTTTTAAGAGAGCAGAGGCGCGAACGGTGCTGAGATGGCGTGTTTGTCGGCCTCATGCAAAGCTGGCATGAGCCGTGGTCCTTGGATGATGTGGTTGATTGACTGAGCTGGCGTAGATACCGAGACGGAGTTGTATCTGTGTGATGATCTTGATCTGGAAAGAACGGTTAGGGGATGTCTATCCAATGTGAGAATTGGCCTTGGTTTTCGTTTGAGATGGATTCCGGGATTCACTTTGCGGTGATGTCCACTCAGTAAGGTCCTCGTGAACTCTCGCCCCTCTCGTGGCCTGGGTAGCTATCAATCACTATAAATACGCCCATACTAAGGCTCCAATCCCTTCTTGCAGGCAACAGTGAACCGTCCATACCCAAAATTCGGCTTCTTCCAATGCTTCGCCAGCAGGAAGGCCTCCCTGGGGTGCTAGGTTAGTGACCATTTCCAAAATCAAAAAGCCCCGAAGGTTCTTTCTAGCATGGCTACCTTACGTCGTGGAGAGATGTTTGCCGCTGGAGGTGTATTCCGTGAGGTATATGTCTTCGGTGCGCGTAAGGGGTGCTGGGTAGTTGTGAGTTAAACGAGTGACAGGGAGTGCTATAACTGCGGGATCTGAGCATGATTCCATCCAACGGTTACTTCGAGATGCTATCGTTGGCAATGAAAGCTATCAGGTCTTAATGGAGCCAGGTTGATTCTCAAAAACTGAATTCTCTCTGTAGTCTTGGAACGACCCGGCTTTTATATTTATACTATCTCAACCTCGAGACTTAATCAACCCGCTGGCCGAGAATACACGCCTCTACAAAACTCTCAATTTGAGATGACTTTTCGGGATCTCGTCACCAAAGTTTTTTTACTCAATAGACCAGCGCGCCATATCACTCAACCACTGGGTGTTCAACAGGCTTGGTTGATACAGCAGGGCCCTGGACCCGAGTATGTGTAGCCCCGGGTGACAGAGCTCTCATTCTAGAGACACATCCATCGACAGTTCCCCGGCCCGGTCTAGCATCAAGTATTGGTCCAACATGCTCTGCCCCAATTGTCAGCTTATGTCTCTTTCAACACCATTCCAAGAAAACCGTTGTAACTCACCCAGTCCACGCTAGCAGGATCATTCAAAGCATTATCCAACGCCATAAAATCAAACTCGTCACTTTGATACGCCCCCTCTCCAAGGAAACCCCGGCCCTGGCCTGGTGTCTGACCAGGCAAGCCACCAACATCTCCAAACCCAGAGTGCAGAGCCAACGATTCGCTGAAGAGACCCGGGTCTCGATATGTGTCATCGAAACTACCTACAGTACTCGCCGCCGTTACTGCCGTTGTCGTCGTCCTCGTAATATCTTCGGTGCTTTGCTGTTTCCTCTGCCGCGATATGCGCTGGACCATGGCCCTCAGGACCGCCGCCGCGTGCCTCGCGTCCTTGGAGCAGTCTGACCTCCGCGACCAGATCTCGCTGGCCGTCTTGAGGGCCTCCATTTTTCGTTCATAATCTTCGTCACTTTTCCATTGTTAGCAAAAACAGCTCAGACATCCTCAAGCCCGCTGTTCTCCTCTTACCCCCTTTCCAGGCAAGGAAAAGAGCAGCTCCTAAGATGAGAGAACATACCTCGTATCCGTACTCTCATTCAAATCCAAACAAACAACCATGGCGGCAATCATAAAGTCATGCAACGTCAAACTACTCAACATGTACCGATCCTCAAACAACCTACCCCCCGGGCTCGCCTCCCGATCAAACTCGGCATGCAAATCCAGCACCCGCAGCGCCGCGGCCCTACAAATCTCCCTCGACGAAGCGAAGCGCGGGTCACCGTTATAACACCCCTTTTCCCTGCTCAGGTACCGCCGGTGCAGCACGCACAGCGCCTTGCTATACATCAGCTCCAGCATCAGCCGCTGCATGACCGTGTGATTCTGCTCCGTGAAGCCCGTCTCCCGGATCGGCCTCACGCGAAGCACGGCGGGCAGAGCGGCATGCCAAGCGTGCAAGGTGTCGTTGAGGACCTGTGTCTCGGCGTAGGCGGGCTGCGCGGGGGATAGGGCGTGGCGGATGACGCGCCGCAGGATCCGGCAGAGTTTCGACTTGTAGCAGTAGTAGAGCGCAGGCGTGGCTTCCGTCGGCGGGCGAGGCGGCGGCATCGTCGTCGTATTCTCGTCAAAGTCTTCGTCCGGGTGGTTCTCGGGCCCGACGGCGTCGTTGTCGCCCTCGTGGACGATGGCCGGCATGCCGAGCTGGAAGGATAGCAACAGATCAAACGCCTCGCAGTAGAACCAGGCGCGGCGGCGCATCTCGGCGTCAAAGGGTGTGATGGGGGCCGAGAGGTGCGAGGGCTCGAGGTGGTAGCCGCGGCGCTGGGCCAGGCGCGTGGCGACGCCGAACATATTCCAGAGGACCGGGTCCATGTCCCGGCTGCCGAGTACACGGGAGTAGGCGACGAGGAGCGTAGCTTCGACCGAGTAGGGTCTCGCGGCGAGGTAGTTGCCCTTGATGAGGCACTGCACCGCGCGGCCTGAATACGCCGAGGCCTCTTTGAGCTTTGCGGGGTTGAGGCCGAGTGCTTCGGCGTTGCCCTTGCCGCGGACGATGACGGTGGCGTTTGATATTATAGAAAACAAGATACTGATCCAGAGCCAGCTCATCGACTCCGGGTTGGCCCAGAAAGCGGCGTACTCGCGTTGGAAGCGGCCGACGTGGATGAAGGGCACGGCGGTGAACCTAGCGTTGAAGTAGACGCCGAGTAGCTTCTCGAGATCCTGTCGCGGCGGGAGGCTGTAGAGAACCTCCGGCAGGGAGACGGGCACGACGGCGCCGAAGAGGAAGTCCGGGCCGATGGAGCAGGCGCCACCTTCGGGCGGTTCAGGGGCAACGGTAGAATCCGGTTCGAGGGCCGTTTTGATCTCGCGGATGTGGTGGAGGAGTGCGGTCCAGTGCGTTGCGCCATAGTAGGCGTCGTCTCCGTCGATAGCGATCGGGGCTGGGGAGTCGTCGCCAGTGCTGCTTCCGCTCTGGGGTGGTTCCGAGTCCGTCGGTGGTGTCGGCACGGCGTTGACGGTCCCGGCGGGCTTGGTGGGGCCCGGCCCTGAGGCCGGTGCCGGGGTTGATAGGGGGCCGTCCCGGTCACGTTCTTTGGATGAAGTCATGCCCCTCCTGACGAGGTCCTGAACCATATCCTCCAGCTTTCGGAGTCGGAAGTGAACCTCTGGACGCGGCTGCTGTCCCGCTCCACTCCCACCACGATGACGGGTAGCTCCATCTGAAGTGGCAGCGGCTAGATTGCCGTTTCCGCGAATGCTCAGGCTCGGAGTATTCCTACTGCTTCCACCAGAAGTGACAGGAATAGCATCGCTTCCAGAAACGGTAATAGAACCGGCACCGGTAACAGCATTAGCGCCGCCTGGCGTAGAGGCAGGGACAGAAGCAGATGTAGATGGTGTAGATGCAGATGCAGGTGCAGAAGCAGAAGCAGACGTAGAAGCAGAAGTAGAGGCAGAGGCGGGGGCAGCAGCCCCAAACTTGCATGCCCCTTCGTCTCCGCGCCTAACACACGCACCGCACGGGAGTGCGCGATCGCATCGTAGTTTCCGCGCGCGACAGGCTAAGCACGAGACGGGTTGACGGTTGCGCTTTGTTACCCTGCGCTGGCCGTCGGACAGAGACTGAGCACGGAAGACGGACGTGAACTGGGTGATATCCGACGCGGACGACATGGTTCGTTCCCTCTTCTTTGCGCCGGCCGAGTCGGCTCTGCTACCCTACCCTCGATCTAAGGTACTCTTCCCTCTCTTTACCCCTTTTCTTTGGAATACACCCCCTGGATAAGGTTGTCGGGATGTGGGGTGATGGCTATCGGCCGAGTTGATCTCCCAGATTCCCGTAGAGTAGCGTGTAGAGGAGTGAGCTTGGGCGAAGTGAGGTAAGACGAGGTCCGAGATGGATTACCGATCTGGGATGCAAGTGATCCGGAGTTTAGCTGCCTGTTTTCTTGAGGAAGAAGCAGAAAAGAGCATGGAGAAGTGTCCGAGAGGGCAATGGAGATGCAGGTTTCCCGGAAACGTGACCAATGTCAGTGAGCAAAGGAAGGAGGGCAATCGTCATCACAATCATAGGAAGTGAGGAGGAGGAACTTTGGAAGGAGCTTGTTAGTCGGGGTTAATCCGCGGCTTTTAGGCCTTCCCCTTTTGGAAACATCATATCTCCGGCTCTAATACGTACCTTACCAATGGTAGGCATCCATGAGCTTCAACTTCCATTGAACATCATCTCATCAACACCACGAACAAGAAGATGAGAAAAATCACCACAGCCGTATACCACAATACACCGGGATAAACAGAAGTTCTTTTTAGAGCCCAGCTTTACAGCTGTCAGAAACGCCGCTTTACTGCATCGAGCTTGTATGCCATTTATAGACGTCCATGTGTCATTGATTATCTTTCGGCACGAGCGACTGCATTCGACGAGCACGTCCATTCTCTTTAACCTCTTTTTTGTAACTAAGGCAGAAAGCAACGGTAAGTGTCTTCTCTATGAGCATTGCTCCTTACCCCCTCCTTTACTACACTAGACTACATGGAAGAAGAAACGTCCGAGCGGTTCGGAGAAGCTTTACCGATGAACAATCGAACCGTGAGAGCATGCAGAGCCAAGGCAAATCTCGCATCTCTAGGTCGAGTTTACAGCAAAGTTAATTGAACCACCGGAACGAACGACGATATGACAAAACCCTGTCCCTTGTCCTCTCGCCCTCTTTGCCTCTCTATCGGGAACGTCCCAACTTTCTTTCCTAAACGCCGAAACATCTACACGAACCTCCCCTCAAGCGGACTCTCACGATGATGGAATCAAAACACTCCGCATGCCCTCGTCCGTTCACCCTCTAGCAGTGTGTATGTGTGTGTGCGCGTCTCCCCCACCTCTCACATGCTTACCAGACAGGAGATCAAGGAAGAGCTTGGTAAAGAGAGCAAGTCAACATGCTTCTGCCCGACAGGGACAGCAATACCCAAAGAGACACAGACCTTTTCCTCAAAACTCAATCGTGGTTTCTATCCCCCTTTTTACCTACTGTGGTATATCGTCACCCTCTCAACCCCTCTCTACACGCCGCCTCACCCCTTCCCAATGAAAACCATCTAAACACTTTCCCTCCTCGTTTTCCGCCATCCGTCAAACGCCCTATGCCGTCCAATGAACACATGTACATCAATTTTCAAGCTTCCTGTTAACAACTATGTTTAGCCTGGCACCTCTTACAATGCAGGAACGCCTGGCGTACATGTAAATCCGCCGTTCACGTGCACCCAAAACCTCACCTTACGTACACTTACATACCCGTACAGATTATCCAACAATAGCACACGTATCCGGATCCGAGAATCACTCTAGTGCCCACACATTCTCTTACTTCTTTCCCCATCGATTACTGGAATGGGATATCATTAGCGCCACTAGCGCTGCATTCCTCACCATCACCGCGGGCCGTACATCGGAGCGGCCGTCTCTCAGACTTCACACGCACGGCCCGGGATAGCAAACGCAACCTACACCCGACGCCCTCTGGCACGCAGGAAGAAACAACCGCTAAGGCTGAAATGAATCCCACCGGCATCTGTGCTACTCTGCCCTCAACATGGCATTCGTATCGAAGCGCCTATCCAAGTATATCAACCTTACCGCCATGACCCTACTCTAACTCAAAAGTCCTATACACGATGGAGTAGCTGGTCTCTGCCTGCTCCGTGATCCCCCCCATCATCCCATCTTCGTATCGGCAAGGCCGCTCTTCACTCTTGCAGACCTGCTGCACGATGCAAACGCCGTGCTGCTGCCCCTGGATCTTGAAACCTTTCGATACTACATGCCACTGCGGAAGATGAAAAACGACCTACCTACCTGACCTTCTTTTCATCATCACCCACGTACACGGCGCGTGCTGGCTGGCGTCTGTGGTTTATCGGACTACTTCACATCCGACCAGTCTCAGTCTTCTACCGCGCCATGACCCCTAATTGTCCACCGTTTTTTTTTTTTCTCTTTTCTTTCGTGATCCCGTGATCCCATCTGTCCAGAGAGTATAGGCTGGCCAAGGAGGCCAAGGAGAGGCCACAATTTTTCTTGACAAGCTTGAAACAATTTGACGCTGCACGCTACTGTCTCATAGGGCTAGTTTGGCACGGCATGTGCCCGCGTCTGTGAGGAGCGGCAGGATCGAGAGACAGACAGTAGTGGTTGAACTTGCATCTCGATCTCCATCTGCCAGTGGGCCTTATTCACATTGCACAGCACAAGTTGAACAGAATCATTGACATCATGTCTGGCAACAACTTTCATTTGCCTCTTGCAATAAAGCTACCGATCTTATGCCGGACGACATGCCCGACATCTCGTTGCCTACGCCGCATCAAGTTACATACACACAACACACAACGCATCGACACTGTTTGCCTCCTCTTGTGCACTGACAGCCTTTTGCTGTCAATGTAAGTAAGCTCGTCCATCCGGCCTCCGTCTAGAGCTACCAGAGCTAAACCCCCACGCAACCGGTGCCTCCCCGTGCTTTTCTCTCCAACTAGCTCAGCTAGGCCCATGGGGCCTGTTTCCCCATCCAGCCAGCTTCGTGTCAAGGAAACCAATGTATTAGAAAACGCCAGGCTCTTTTTTGATGGTTCCCTCTCTTGCTCCTTGCGCTTGGCTCCAAATCGTAGAAACAATAATAAGAAATGATATGGAATAAATGGAATAAGATAAAAAAAAAAAATCACAACACATACACACACGCTTTTGTACAATGAGACGCAGCTGGGTATCATAGCAGCGAGGAAGAGATAGGGAAGCAGACAGAGACCAAGTGCTGTGTTAGGAGGAAATGCCGCGGATAATTCTAGCGTTGTTGCCGACAGCGATGGTGAAGGGAGGGACGTCCTGCAGCATATGTTAGACTAGAGTTTCATGATGAGGGAGCGCATGTCGACGACATACCTTGGTGACAACCGCACCGGCCCCAACGGTGCTCCCGCGCCCAATCCTGACGCCTGGCAGGATAATGACGCCTCCACCAATGAAGCAGTCCTCTTCGATAGTGACAGGCTTGCCAAGTTGAGGGCCCCTGCTACCTAAGCGCTTCTTAGGGTCGGTGGGCAGCGTTGCCGCGTAAATGCTCACGTTCGGTCCAATGTGGCAATTGTCGCCAATCTTGACCTCGCAGGTGTCGATGATGGTGCAACTTCGGCCAACAACGACATTCTTGCCAAGAGAGATATTGTACCCGTAGTCGCAAGTGAATGGCGCTTCCACAACAACGTCCTCGCCCACTCTTCCAATGTTGGTCACTGGCGATGCAACTGTAGGCGAAATTTGGATAGGGTCGCGAGGCTGCAAAATCTCACGGAACAGGCGGCCTCGCTCGGTTGGCGAGACACCGTTGTTGGGGTTCGTCGAGTTATTGAATCGCCAACATGCAGCGCTGCACCGTTCGCGCTCAAGGACAAGCTCCTTATCGAATGGGTAGTAGAGCTTGCCGGCAAGCATATCCTCCTTGTTCGTCGTCCTAGACCGGCTGGAAGAAAACTGAGTGTGCGATAAGGCTAGCTGCGCGGCGACTTGTGCATTGCTAGTTGCTGGAGGCTGCGGGATGGGGCTATTCGACCTCGTGGGGTGCAGAATGTTGATTTGCGGCAGCGCATTGCCAGGATGAGGTGTCTCCGGCTCCGGCACAGTCCTGCTAATGTCGTGCAACGGGGGCACACGCTGGTAGTCCTTTCTCTCCGAGAAGGGGGCATGGGGAGGCCCTTGGGCACTGATTGGCGTCGGGAAGGCGTTCGCTGGAGTGTAGGGAATGGCGGATAGCTTGGTCTCGGGGCTTGCAACCGATGCACTGGGAATCGTCGAGGCTGTCGGCCGGTCGTCGTCAGTCAGTAGGGGTCGGCCCTGAGGAGGATCTATCCGCAAGGGTTGGCCACGGTAGGGAGGTAATGCCTCTCGTCTTGGTCCGACAGCTGGCTGGCTGCCGTAAGGAGCTTGCTGTGGCATACCATATGCGCCAGGTGGGACGTAGCTGGGGTCTTTGGACTCCAAGGGGATGGCGGCGGCCTTGCTGTCCGGCTTCTGCCAAGCTGTATTTCGCTGCGGAGGATATCCTGCACAGACAAAGCCTCCACGAAGACAGTTGCTACCTGAAAAAGGGTCAGCATTATCACTCAAACAAAAAATGGCAACGGTCAGGGCATCTCCTACATTCTGGCTTCTGCTCGTCGCACTTCTTCTTCCTCCTTCGGCATGTAAGACACCCCGTCTTGGTTCGGTTACTGAAGTTTCGCTTTCTCTTCGCCTTGTCGGATTGGAGCATGTCACGGGATCCGCCAGGTGTGTAAGATCCATAGGCCATAGATCGATCATCACCGTCAGGGCTGGTGTTGTCGTAATCATTCGCATCCATCTGGTTGGCGCGTCTCAGAGCCTCCCCAATTTGCTCTTCGGATTGACCTTGGGTAGACGTTGCAGAAGGTTGATCGTAGTAACCCCTCTCCTCCCTCTCCCTCTCTCTTTCTCTTCCCTCGCGTGAATACCATGACTCACCCTGTTCCCTTGAATCTTCGCGTTCAGCGTACGGGCGATGATCGCGCGAGGGCGTTCCATAGGGTTCACGTGATTCTGGTGGGTGGGGTTGAGAAGCGGTCTCCGGGGACTTTTCCTGACGCCCGGGAGCTTCTCGCCTCAGCTCTACTGAGTTTGATCGCTTTCTCTTATGAGAGCCATCAACGTCGGGGTAATTTGCCGTTTGATACGGGGACCTTTCCTGGCTGGGGCCGGCCCAAGGCTCCCTCTGGCTTGGGGAGGGCTCTACGGCGGCTGTCGATTTGGGCTCAGGAAGGGCGGTTTGTCCATTGGTGCGCTCGTCTGACGGGGCTCTACTGGCGTCGGCGGGCGGGTTGGGCGGTTCTGACATTTTTGGTGAGCCCCCATTGAGGGCAGTAAATGTTGACATGATTTAGAACGGCACCTCACCGACTCGGACGGTGAGTGGTGAGAGTCGTTACGTCGCTATGCAGGCGCGTTAGGCCGAGCAAGCGATAGTTGTGCCGTGGTAGAGTAGCTGCGCAGATGCAGCAAGCGACCGGCGGCAAGATGGATTGACGGATAATTGTCGCGTGGTGAGTGAAGAGTCAGTCGGCGGGGAGCTTCGGTAGAGATGATGTTGACGAAAAGGGTGCGCAGGAGCTCGCGCGCGTCAATGAGAGCCAGAATCAGCGATTCGGGCCGAGCCAAGCTAAGCGGAATGTTGCTCTTGAATAGCTACGGAGCCGTAGAAGGACTCAGCAACAGCTAGGATAGCGTTGGGCTGAAGGTCCGAGGCGAGCGAGCGAGCGAGCGGCTTTTTGAGACAGGGAGGGGGCCTCGATATCTTCCGGACTTGGAGAGTCTCTTGGAAGATGGTGTTCCGTGAGAGGTCAACGTGGATGAGTAAGAAATGGGGACCTCTTGTCTGGCGTGGTTGAGATCCAAGTCGTTGCTTTGTCGTGGGGGTGGGTAAAGTTTTCTTCTCTTTTTTTTCCTCTTTCCTTACCTCGCGTTACCCCCTGGTCCCTTTCAAAGATCTGCACAAGAGGGAAAAAAAGAGAGTGAGGTGGTATCAAGCGCAATGATGACACTCTTTGCTGGCGGGACAGAGTGCTGGTACAAAGTACAGGTGCAGCTGCAGCTGCTAAGGTAGTGCTGGGACTGGAACTGGAGCTAAGGTAGCAGCTGGAGCTGTTGCTGCTTTCTGCCGCCGGTGGTGCTTCGGTACGCGGCGCGCGGAGGTCGCGGGAGCTTGAGCTTTGGACTTTTTTCTTCCCTTCTTTTTTAGTGGGCGTCGGCGGGGGGAGGGGCGTGGGACAAATAATTGATTGCTGGGCTGTGCGCGCGTGCGTCAGTAAGAAAAAAAAAAGGCAAGGTACCTTGTCTTGGGAACGTGCGACAAGGACGAGAGAGCGAGAGCGGTGTCTTGTCCGCTCCGGGGGTGGAACAAGGGCAGAAATTGGTGAGAAAGATGCCGCTGAGACCTGAGGCTGTGCAGCCCTTGGTGTATGGATATGTGTGAGAGAAATTGGATGGGAACAGCCCGACCCAGCGTCCCGGCCTGTACGGATGCTCGACGCCGTCAAGAGAGTTTCTGCCCTTGCCTTGTTTGGTCTTTGGGCGGCAGATGAAGGGGACAAGAAACGCAGATGCAAAAGAGTGGGAGCGAACATTGGGCAGCAGACACGTTAGAGATTCACTCACATGAAATATCCCTATTGGGATCTTGTCTGGAGTTTTTGGCTGCCTTGACAACAACCCGACTTGAGAGTTGCGTGTACTGTGTAGTACTGCTGCTGGCTATGTTTGCTAGCGGTAACCCAGGACTGCTACAGCCTTGGATCCGACACGAGGAAACGAGCTAGGAGTATCCGTAGATGCGATGTTCTGTCTGCGTTGGAGAAGAAGTAGGTGGTCCAGATGAAATCGGCCTTTGGAGCAGTTCAGCACATGCGTGGTCTTGGCTTGGCCGACGGGGTTCGTATTGCGGTTGCGTCCGGCCAGGGATGACAATGACGATGACGATGGAGACGCCCAAGGTCGAAATTGGGATCTAATGTAGACAATGAGCTCCGCAATTTGCTCGCAATTTGCCGTACCGGTGGTAGTGATGGCAGTGGTGAGATGTGTGTGTGTTGTGAGTGCGCGTATGAGACGGAAGCAGGCAGATGAATGTTCGCGCCTGCGATTCGGTGTGTCGCCTGCGAGGAAGTAGAGAGTATCAAAGGAACCAAAGGGGAAACTGCGCCGGCGTTGTTCTCCTTAAAGGTACCGTGCGCCTCTCTCTGTCTCTCTCTCGTCTTCTCTCTCCCCAAAGTTGAGAAAGAGAAAGATGGAAAAATAAAAAGGGTGAGAATAGAGTATTAGTCCAGCTTCTTGCCGCTGCCCTTGTGTCCAATTGTTCAAGGCCCGTCTCTTTCCTTTCTCCCCGTCTCAAGGGTTTGTCCGAGTCGAGGGATGATGGCTGCTTTGTATGGCGGCGCTTGAGCGTTTTTTGACGCGCGATTATGCTGCGCCTGTTCGGGGGGTGGAACACTGAAGAGTGAGGAGACAATTTCCCACGACGCGAGCCACTGAGATGTGGTGAGGAGACTTCTGGCTGTAACGCGACTCGGATTGCAATGTGTTCCGCTAAATCCGGTATAAATGCCAGTCCGAGTCGAGAATGCTGGGCGAGTAGGGATATCCGTCTGTATCAATGCTCGAACCTTGCCTGCCGCGCACCGTTTGCCTCTGGGATGTAGAGAGTGGATATGCAAAGCGCAACGAATCTGCCCTGCCTGATGAGTTAGGCTGCGTGACTGTGAAGAGGAAATAGTTTTGGCGGTGTCGGATGTTGACGGGTGGGATGGGCGAAAGGGTGAGATGACAAGAAAGTGTAAGTGTGACGAAGGGGGGCAGAGGGTAGGGAATATGTTCATATCATGTGGAAGTGCAAGTGGTCGAGGTAGCGAACCTCGAGTGTGAAAGTGGTGGTCGGGGTGGTCGTGGTCGTGTCTTGGTATCTAATTGTTTCGAGGTACCTTTACTTACTCCGTACTCCTTTCACACACTCTCTCTCTTTCTTGCACGCGCTCTGTCGTATCCGTACTCCGTTCGTAGTACACCTGCTCCGATGAACTGTAGAATGTATCCGCAGAAGCGTCTGGCATCTGTAGCCGCAGCCTTAGTTCGTCCCCGTCGCCGTCGTGGTGGGCAAGGAAAGCAAGGCAAGGTAAGGTATGAACCAGTCGTTGACAAGCCGGCACTGTCGAAAGTCTGAGGTGTAGGCGAGCCAAGGGCTACCCTTGATAGTGCGGGAACCAGCCAGCCTTTTTCTTTTTTCTTTTGTTCTTTCTTCCCTCCCGTTGTTACGCGCTCGCTCGCCAAAGCTCAACTCCAATGGCCAAATAATTAAGAAGAAGGATCTCTGTGTGTTCGTCGTCCGTACTCAACGTCCACGCTGGGCTGCGACCGAAATTGCAAGGGAACGAGAAATACCTCTCGGGGTAACAGGGACGAGACGATGGTCTCGGCGGGTGCCCCGTTACTTGTATCCTGTACGGATCAAGAGAAAGAGAGTACAAAATCTCTCCAAAAAAGTACGCAGAGTGTGGCCTCACTCACTTTCTTCTTGATCCTGGTTCCCTTCTCCCGCGAAATCCCACCTTGTGTGCTGCATCCACACATCGAGCCCCCTCCTTTCGCTCGCCCTTCCTCTCTCTCTCTCTCTCTCTCTCTGTGTGTGTGTGTGCAAGTGTTGGTCTGAACATGCAAGAGGCATCCGTATCGCCTCTCTTCACCTTCTCCTCCCCTTCCTGGGTCATACATACGGATCCATTCCTCCTAGACACCCCAGTCCTTCGTCGCTAAACCCGGGAAACACGAGCAGCATTGGGTCGCGGCATGGCGCTTCTCACGGGTACTCGACCGCCACAAAGTACTCGCGCGATACTGCTGCCAGTAGCCACTTGCGTTTGTCGTCGCTTCCACGGCCACCAGCTGGGTCCCCTGGCGAGGCATGAACAAGGGGGGGATGGTATGCAGAAAGGAGGGGGCGTGTCGACAGGCCATTGGAGACTTGGGGAGAGGGCGTGAGCCACAACCTCTGCAACCCGCGTCTGGTCGCTCCAGCTGTACGGAGTACGTATTGCAACTCAACTGGACTGTGCTTGACGGTAGGTCGACCTGGGCTAGCCGGGCCTGGGCTGGGATATGCCCGCCGTGCTTGTGCCCATCGCCGTTCCTGCTCGCCTTGCCTCCATCCTCAAATCGAGCTCCCCCGTGAGTCCAAGGCCGTTGCCCTTCCAAACCGTGGAATGGCAGATATGTCCTTTTCCTCAGTAACAATTTTCTCTCATCACCCGTAGGCTCAATGTCATGAGTGAGAGCCAATTTGACCATGTCCACCAACTATTTTCCGTGTCGCGGTGATTGGTGTCCAGGCTGCAAGGGTTGGCACACACCATCATCTCGCGGGCCTCACCGGCCACATTGCCCACCTCCCCGCGATGCGATATTGGGCTAAATGATGCATGTTGGCAGTGTCCTGTATCTGTACACGTACTGCACCGTATTGCTATAGGAAAGTGAGGTAGCGAGCACGTACGCATACATGTGTGCTTGATAATACGTCTCATAACCTCTGCCACGTGATGGGGGAGGTTGATGGAGGGATCTGCCATCCTCCCCCCCCCCCCTTTTGAAGGCTACCGGCGCATGGCAAGGTGTGTTTTTGGCCCCCGCTCTGCCGCGGCCGTGAGCCGTCGTCATTTCCAGTGTCTCCAGAGTTTGGGGGCAGGAAACAAGCGACCGCCCATGACAAGAGCCGCCGGCTGCTTTCGCCAAAGACGCAAGGACTCACTTTCAGCATGGCGACGACCCGGGCCCATGATTTCGCCAGCGGCCAGCCTGCATCCGCTAGCCCTGTCAACCTTGACATGCTCGCCGTCCGTCGCTGTCCCGGTCAAATCGTCAGCATGCCGCCTCGACTCCACCATCCCAAGATTTGTACAACTTGACCGACTGTCGTTGCCTGAGCAAAGCGTTCCAGACAGTCAGACACTCTCGCGGTTCACCAAGAAGGCTCCTCGCGCATCCGGAGACGCTGCCCGCCTGTAGCGTTACACTGGTTTCCACTTATCGCTCTCACGAAGCTTGACCCTCGCTGTAACCCTTTTTTGACCGCTGTTTGGCCGGGGTTGAATTATCAGGTGTGCCGTGCCGCAGAGAACTGATGCCAGGGTCTCCCACGTTTCTTAACTCTGGCAGGAAACGGCTTTGATACGTTCAGGAAGGTGAAGAAAAGAAACCCCAAGGCCTAGGTGTCGCTTGGTCCACCAGGTCCGGACCAAGCACCCCGGCCATCGCTATAAGACGCAGGACGACCGCCCCTCGGTGCAGAAGCAATCCTGGTCGAACCTTTGGTCCCTTCATCCGCTCACGGCTTCATAAATAGCACATGGCCACGCGGTAGTCCATGTCAAACGGGGTCTCATCCTCGTCATAATGGCCGCAGTTGGTTTTGACTCGGGATGGAGCGGTGGTACAGCGGCTGTTTCGGAGTGTTGAGGACCTTCATTACCGTGTGCAACAATGACCCTTCTGATGATAGGTACTCAGATTGGACGGATGTTCGCTCTCAACGGGAAAATACTGTGAACATCCGCCAACCAGACTGAGCTATCAGCGAAATTGCCTCGTACCCCCCGGCGCAAGGTAGTAGTGGTGAGGTGAGAGCGAGCATTGCCGGCGGATGCGGTTGATCATCATTATGTAGCAACCAATGGAGCTGTCAGGATAGGGTCCCCGTGTCATGCAGTTTGACGCGATCAGTGACATATCCTCTTCTCTTCCCCTTCTCTGCGAGCCCACTTCCCTTCGCCGCGTCTAAAAAGCACGCTCAGCGTCGTAGCTAGACCCTCAAGTGTGACGCCAACGTCGGGTATCGTCGTCAACAACCAGGCTTAGCTGGCTGTGGCTCGTATTGTCATCCCGTTCGATTGCAATCTGCAGCCGCCAACTGGGCTAGCAAACGCGGCAGTGCACCAAGTCAACCGTCTAGCAGGTTTTGGTGTCGAGTTGGTGTGAGATTAGTGAGGGGATAGTCCCATTTCCGCGTCCGCGCTGAGCCGTGTCTCGGCCCTTGGCTCCGTTCTTCAGCGTGACAACCAGTCGCGGGAGACGTCGACTTGAGTCGATTTGTGAGGTATCCGTACGCAACAGCACCATCTGCACCGCTCATCTCTAGGTGGCATTCTCTGTGCGCGGATGTCTCCCGGGATGTAGCGACCCTGTAGGGTTGCAATCACTAGTCACTCTCCATGCGTTTGTCGCAACAGTCTGGCCGCGCAATTGTCCGGTCGCGGCAGCGCATGCGCCAGTCTTGTTCCGGAAACAGTTACCTATGAAATATAGATCGCGGCTGCCAACATCTTTGCTCGTTAATCGGGGTGATGACTTGTCTCAGGGATCAGATACCTAGGCTGAGTGATGGGTGTTGCTGTCGAGCCTTGAGAGAGATGGATGGGGACGGTCTGGATGTGCGGCACAGAGCCCGCGGGTGAAGTGAGTTCGGCGATAGCACTTAGAGAGAGTGACCGTAGTGACTGTCCCATCTTTTTTTCCCAGGTTCCCTTCACATTCAAGTCTGGTGTTGGATTGGTGGTGTCTGCTCTCGTTCCTCTGACGGGGCAGGGGTGAAATAAAAACGTTAATCTTCCGATGTAGATGGACCAGGATACAGCCCAAGGTGGATTATTTTTAGCCGTGCAATCCTGGGTGGGACTGAGAGGGCAACCTGACTTTCAGTCTGCGTTGTTGGGCTATTTACCCCAGCTTTGCCCGGGACCGATCCGCTCGTCTCGTCTCGTCTCTTTGTCGCGTATGTGAGGGCAAGGCGTTGGAAGAGAGGGCATTATGTCGTCGGCTCTGACGGCGGTCAAAGTGTCTCCAGACCAAAGGGTATTGCAAGTTGTTGCACCCCTTCCTTTACATCGTGCGTAGCGCTTGTCGCAGGGCGGGTGTACGAAAAGAAAAGAGAAAAAAGCGCGGAGGCGTCCGAATCGACCCTCCCACCTGCACCAGCGTCGCCCTCCGCTCCTCGCCCGGGTATCTTTACCGCCGCGACCCACCCACACCTACCGTGATGGCAGCTAAGCGGCATCACTGGTCTGATTGGTTCGCGACAAGTCGATATGCAGCCAACGAGAAGCCCTGATGTGCGGGAGGAGGAGAGTTGAGTAACAGGGCGGTTCGATTCGATACATGCGCTGTGACGAGACAGACGAGACTTTCTCGACGGCGCGACTTGCCCAATCTTCGGCAGTCCAATATTAGCAACCGGGACTACGCTGGCCCGTCGGTTTCGTTCCACGAGATGTTGTTGCTCAAGGTGAGATGTCATGGGCTCTTCGCGATGCCGCGTAGAGTTTGACTCGAAGGTGATGAATTCCTCCACATCCTGCTTAGGTCAGAGGTAATGTGATGTGCGCTGCATTGGTGGGAGACTCATGCGGCTATCACGATTTCGCTGCACAAGTGCTGACATCTTGTCACACCCAGGCGCACAAGCGCACACCTGCTTCACCGTCTGTTGCGCATATCAGAGGTAAGGCATAATGATCTTTGGCCATCAGATTCAACAGAAAATCAAGTCAGAAATGCGGATGGCCTGCAGCTGACTGGCTTCCCAACTCGACTTTGCAGACGAAGTTATGTTCTTGCTTAGTCGTTGGAGCTTTGACCAGACGCCTGGAGATATCGCCCGACTGATGTACTTGGCCGCAGACGTTCTCCTCGAGGTATACACCAAGTTCCTCTAGAAAAGCCGTGGCTTGTGTTGCTTGCGTCTATCGATGCGACGAATCACGATATTGTCTTAAGTCAAGCCTGCAAATGATAACATTCGTAGCTGTATGCGTATGAATTTGGCCTTGGTGGAGCTTGTGAGTCCTTTACCTGGTCGCTCGGTAATGAAGAAAGCCTAACCAGAAATTGCGGGAATGTCGTCTCGTGGGGCCGGCCGGAGCGAGAAGCACGAGGAGCGAAATGGAAGGCGTTTGAGAGCATCAGCGCAATGGTGCAATGTATTTGCCGTATGGGGGTTTCCACTCCGCGACTGTGTCTGGTTGACCGTTGTTCATCTGTGTGACAGTGTCCACTGTCGCATCGAAAGATCAGACAAATGCGGAATGACCACCGCGATGTGGAGCACGGAAGGAAGGCAACGGTAGCAAACAGCACAGAACCACTGGGCCGCCAGCCGAACTGCTAGGTATTCGTGTTAGGAGGCTGTCTCGCCAGATCCATAATGAAATGACATGGCCAACGCGTCGAGTGTCATGGCAAATGCGGCATATCTTGGTCCCCTCCGACGGAGTAGGCAGGGGCGACTTTGGACGAGCGGGGATGAAAGGCGCAGGATCAAGAGTTGAAATGGAGCAAATTCGAGGACCGAGGTTGCAGGGAGCAGCGAGAGCGGCGAGTCCAAGAGGGAACCTTGGTAAAGCAAACAAAAGCGGGGCGACGGGATTCGAGAACGAGAGAAGTCAGGGACTCAGGTATTCTTTTGCAGTCGAGAATTAAACCCCTGGTCCGTCGTCTGTAGCATTGTGCCGTCACCAACTGATCAGGGATTGTGGAGGTGAGATAAACTGTGACAATAAAGTAGGGTAAGCAGAGGCAGGGGTAAAGGGGCACGGCAGCATAGGTGTACATACGTCGACCTATGGCGGGAGCCGAGACAGAGTGCCAGAGTGGTGGACGGCCATCCAGACGAGGTACAATCAGGTGTTGACGACGGTTGAGTGTGTTGGATGTGACGGTGATACATACCAGGCAGGCCAACAATCAGGAGGCTAGAGTAAGATTGACTGCGGTATGAGAAAACGAGGGGGACTGTATGGTCCAAGATTCGAGCCGGCTCGGGGAAGGCGAGAGCTGGAAACAAGACGGCGCCCGGATGGGATTCTGTTGGTTCTTGTTTAGGTAGTCGTCGTCCGCAAGAGATGTCTCGTCCCATCCAATGTCCTGCAGGATGCTGCTATTCCTGGCCATCGACGACTGACGACGAACGGCGTTCGGTTCCAACTTCCAGCAGACGATTGAGGGATGCGGATAACACACCCCGGAATTTGCAGAAATGTCAGGCCCACCACATCTCTATGGAGATGCTGAGCCCGTGGTTGGTCCAAAGCCGCCGAAGCGAAGTTTGGTAATGCGTCTGGCGATAGCAGCCTAATGGGGCGGCGGCATTTGCTGAAAGGGAATGGAAATCGTCCAAAGTGACTCATGGAAGATTGCGAGAGAGCGCGTGAGAGAGAGCGCGCCTCGGTATTTCGGGAGACGAGGGTCTGGCAAACAATCTGACGGGACAGAATGGAGGGTCGCACAGGAACGATGAACGATTCGGCACCGTCGAGAAAAATCCTGGACGTTGACGAGGGCTATGGAACACTGGGACTCGATCTGCAGTTGTTGGTTCTTTGCGGGCGACGGGACATCCGCAGTTTGGGGGCTACCGAGCCCGCTTAGAGATTCAAGCGCGCTGACAGGGGGAAGGGGCCTTCCATGTCAGGAACCTACTGCCCAGTTGTCAACTTCCATTGACGGAAGGACCAAGGTACTTGCCCACCTGCCCAACTTCGGCTTGGGTTAAAGCGGCAGGAGGTATCCGAATCATCAACCTGCTCGCTCACTGACAACTTGGCTGCAGAGGCAAGAGCCTACCTTAAAGCGCCCGGCCTGTTTCCTATTTGCTGCCATTGATCTGTTCCTTCCCCATGCTCCCGTCAGGATGAATACCTGTTCCCGCAGTGGAAGGCACCTCCACAGATTGGCTGCTTGGCCTGCGACCACCTAAGTTACCTAAGGTAGAAGGCACTCGAGGCACTCTAAGTACTTGAGGATAGGTACCCAGGCAGTACCACCTTGCCTTAGTCATCCGTAGCTCGATGCAAACCATGGCTTCTTCAACTTGGGTTGACAAGCGTAGGGAAGGAGTGCCCTGTATGTTGTATCGTCGATCCAATCTCTTTCACTGCAAACTGCGGATACTTTAATCTTCATTATTCTCGATCATCGTAGCCTTTGCGAAAACAACTGACCCCTGGGCCCTATAAATTGGGCCATTCAGGTGGACACACTGGCACGACTGGCTCTCTTGTTCGGTTTCAATTTTTGAGCAAAAATATCCTTTCACTTATTTTCCAGAATAGCGTCTACTACATAGATACTTGATCACGTGGCCTATTAGAACGTGAGCATGGACAGGCTCTCGACTTCCCGTCTACCACTCAACTTCACCACATCACGCCTCATTTCTTCCTGCCATGTCTTTTCAGACGTCATTTTCAAATTCATTGTCTGTCCAAGAGACGACCCTTATTTTCAGAAATACCGACGTGTGTTTCTAATCTTAGAAGTGTCAAGATCTCCGCCATGCACAACATCGCAGCTCCATCACACAAACCCTTACAACAGCTTGGCTTGCAGCCAATGGTGTCGCTCGACTCCAACTAAGCGCCCACTCATAAGCGCTCCCTCATTCTCCTCGCAAACGACAACGTCAAACTCCACGTTGCTGACTGCCCTTCTTCTAGAAAAGTTCTCTGCCACCGCATGGCATTGCAATCTTCCCAAATCCATGAATTTTACACTTTCGAGGGCGCCTAGGTCTCTATTAATAACTACCGGACCCAACAGCAAGTTCCGCTCCTGGTCCTGGCATCTTTGGCCGAGCGAGCGGCCTGCAGATCTCCCTTTCCCCAAAGGCCTGACTACGGCCCACTCCCTGTATCCGCGCCGTGCGGCATACGCGCCGGACGAGCAGTTACATGTCTAAATTTCTAGCTTTCTCGGCCTGCGAGGTATGCAAGCGACCATACATCCTGCGCTCTCTAGCATGACGACAGCCTCTCGACGAACCGACGCCCAGGATACCCAAGGCTTGACACGGAGCCGAGCCCATTGTTCCCCGGCGTCACGCCGACGCCTCTTTCTCTGAACCTCGTCTAACCTCCCTCTCCATACGTATGAAACTCTTCTCCCCTGCAGGCAAGATCTCGAGATTGCCAATTAGGTCACTGACGCGGCCGCCGCTTAATCTTGACGCCCTTCCACGCACACCCCCATCCGTGGACACAACAGGACCAGGACCCTGAAGTCAGTAGAAGCACGATCGTGGCACGAAGACCTTCACCGAAATCATCTCGATCGGCCTCCAATCAATGGGCCGGCCAGTCTCGTCACAGGCGGGTCCGGAGATCTCAAGGGCCCTGGCAGCCTCGCGCGTTCATAAACCCCCCTTTGCCCCTTCCAGCAAACTACACGACCCGGCTCCAAGGCAAGCGGCATGCCATGATCAGTCACCTTCCCAACCGTAACCGCTCTCCGCGTCGGTATTTTTAGCTGCCGTTGCTATATTAAGATGATTAGCCTCACCTGCAGCCGCCTATGAGCTGCATCTTGCTTAATGAGACGTCACGTCCTGCGTTGAACTTCATGGGTTCCCCTACACCGAAGGGACCCTTATCTTTCGCAACCGCCTTCTGTCCCGCCGCAATTATAATTGTAAAAGAAGCGAACTGCAGAGAATTATTCCATTTCTCCCCTTTGGAGTTGTCAAACTTGCCTCCTGTAGTCCGTACCCCTGGCGCGATATTGTTGTAACAACACCAACTTACACGACATCCATACAAACGTGTAAGCGCGGGGCAAAAGCGACAAGGTTACCTCGACATGCAGCATTTTGATATTGCCCACCGCTAGTTTCCGACTCTTCTGCGTACCTATCGGCGGTTTTTTTGTTTCATGATCCTTCTTTCCCACTGCTACTCCATCCCACTACGACATGGACGCATCATCTAGACATGGGCACATCATCCAGACGTACCCCCGGTCACAACGCCCACGTGAAGCAAAGATACCCAGCAACGTCGGGCAAAAGCAGCAGTCCTGTTTCTTATTATTCTTGTTTCAAGCTTTTGTACATTTTTCCCACTAACCCCAGACAAACTCCGTAGAGGCGGCGGCTTTTCCCACATCGCTCTGCCTCGATACCTAAACCGACCCAATGAACTTTGTAGTATGAACCCTTTCCCGTCCCTGTCCACACTCCCACGTTCTGGTTCCAAAATATTGCCGCGGCCCTTTTGGCCAATAATCCGTACATCGACAGTTCGCGCTCGCATTCCTCGTCACGCCCCACCCCCCGGTCTAAGAGGAAGGGGGAGGGGAGGGGAAGGGGGGTGGTTGGTCACGCGCGGAGATCACTCCTTCGAGGTTCAATCTCAATTCTGTGTGTGATTATACATATCGTAAGACACTTCATCCATCTTCGTCACGGCGCGTAGCGCCTTGCGTAGCGAGAAGGCAAAGTACCTGGTTGTCTGACGGTACTTTGACGGTACATGGCCTTCACTTGCTTCATTTCTTTTGCCTCTTGGCATTCTTCTCCTCGCCGCCGGCGCTCATGACGCTGGCGCTCCGCTTATGTGTTGCCCCACTGCTGCCCGGCCGCGCCGACTTTTCCTTCTCCGCGTCCCCCTTGCCCTCCTCCGTCGCGGCCGGCGCAGCAGCAGCTGCAGCAGTTGCTTTGTCCCCGTCCGCAGCGGGAGTTGCCTCCCCACCGCCGGCGTCTCCGTTGGTTTTGGTTTCATCATCCTTGGATGGCTCGGCGGCAGCTTTAGGTTCGGCGTTTGCCTCGCCATCGCCTTCGCCCTCGCCCCCTGCGGTGGTCTTGTCCTTCTTCTCTTCCGTAGACTGAGCTTGGCCATCGCCTTCCTTCTTCTCAGCAGCCGGGTCGGGCTCTGGCTGGTTCGCCTTCTCGCGCTCCGCCTTTTTGGCCAGCTCGAGCTTGATCTCGGCGTCAATCTTGTCCGTGACCTTTCTAGCATCAAGCAGACTGTTGACGGCGCCGAGCAGGAGCTCGTATTGGGCTGTTACCGGTGCTGTCGGCATAACTAGCCTTGGCGGGATATCGAGCTCGTTGAGCGTGTTCATGATGCGCAGTTGCTGCTGGTTCGACTTGTGTGTGAAAAGCTTGTTGATCTTTTCGTAGCGGAACGTCGGTCCGCTAGACAGGCGGTCGTGGTGCGTGACACCGTAGACGTGCATCTCGGCATCGTTGAGCTTGCGGCGTTCCTGCTGCTGCTGGCCCTTCTTTCCGCCTGCCGGCGCCGTCGGTGTCTGCGCGACGCTGCTGGGAGGTTCCTTGTGCGTTTTCTCCGCCGGGGTCGCAGCCGCTGCAGCAGCAATGCTCTCGCGGCGGTCTTTGTTGTCTGTTGACGCGGCCGTCGCTGTCGCTGCAGCCGCTGGCTGTTGACCTGCGGGCGCGGAGGGGCTGACGCCGTCCGCTGCCATGAGCGACTTCCGCTTTTTGGACTTGTCGGCATTCATCAGGTTCTGCAAGAGAGTTTGTAGCCCAGCACTGGACTTGAACGCGCTGATGTCCTGGTCAGTGTGCGGGTAGTCCAGACGGTTGTAGAGCTCCCGACGCTCCTCGTTGAAACGGTCACTGCGCGCGAGAATGCGCTTGATCTCCAGTAGTAGTGATTCCTCCTCCTTGGCTTCCTCCTTGCTCCGGGTAAGCGCGTTGTTCGCAAAGTCCTTGCGCTGCTTCTCCTGGTTGGCGTTGAAGTTGGCCATGAGCTCGTGAAGGGTGTACTCGGGTTGCGTCATGTACTGAACGGGCTTCTGCACCGCCATCATCTTTGCCGCAACGTCGTAGTAGCGCGCTTTGAGGTCCTCCATCGTCCTTGGTTTCGGCACGGGGATGATAGCCTTACTCTCATCCCCGTCTGCCGACGCCTCTCCGTTGATCGCTTCTGGCAAGTAGTCGTATCGGTCCCATATGATCGGCCACCGTAGGTCAAAGTCCTTCACCAGCCCTAGCAGGTAATCCGTCTCCTCCTTGCTCCAGTCGTCGTTTTGCAGGTTCGTCCGGTACTGGTCTTCGCTGTACTGCGGCACATCCACCTCCACGTTGAATTTCGCAAACATTGAGTTCTCGGGCTTCACCGCTGCCTGCTCTCCTTCCGCATCTTTCATTTCGGCGTCGCCGCCCTGGCGCCCATTTTCCGCAGCCGTCGGTGTCTTGCGTTTCCAGTGCTTCAGCACTAATGCGCCGCTGTCGCCTCGCGCTGAGTTTGTGAAAGGCTTAAGTTCCCATTTTGTCGCCGGTTTCCTGCTTGCGAATCGCCGCTTCTTGAAGATCGATACTTCAGGAACGATGGCGATTGGGTTGTCACCGCCCAGATTCTGAACCTCGCGGGCGAGACCCTTGAGATTTGGGCGTGGGCCGGCTGTCTTTTGTTTCTTCGCCGGTCGGGGGCCTCCGTGGCTGTCGGGAAGATTGAGGACGTCTCGCACGTCGGAGGACGTCATTATCGCGGTATCTGGGAAGGGCGGAAGAGCTGGCTGAAGAGTGGTTGTAATGCTGCGCGACGGGTCGGAAGGGCGGATTTTCTTTTCGATTGACGATTGCCACTGGTCGGCTCGATGGCATCAATTTATCGCTGGGTTGTGCACATGCATCAAGCAAACGGGTCTCGTAAAGTTCTTTTCGGGGCAATTCGTCGATGACAGTGGTCTTGGTGGTTTCATGGAGCGGGTTTCGTCGAAGAGAGGCGGAGAATTAGGATTGTTTCTGGTCTTCAATGTCTCCGAAATCTCGAATCCAAAAAGGTACAATTCTTTGGACGCGCAGGTCGCATTGGCAGGCGCGCAATCCGTCGTTTGGGGATCGCACGTGATCCACTTCCTCCCCCAAGTCCCAAGAGGTAGTGGCCAATGCCACCCCTGTTCCACCGCCAATTTTTCGAACGTGGCAGCTTTGCAAGTTACTCCCGCGCACCCTGGGACTTTAATGTGGGTACCCGAGCGAACTGGCTGACCTGGCGCTGTCGACTCGAAGAAACGAAGCATCTACAATTACACCCCCTCGACAGCCGACAGACGACGAGCACCGCGAATTCGAATCGACCCTGCCCCGAGAAACCTGCGGTTCGCCCTACACTTCATCAGTCGCATTCAACTTCCGTCGTCGACAACATGAGACCCTTTCTCCCCTTGCTCTCGCTGAGCGCAGTCGCCCAGGCGCTGTACTTCTACATCGATGGCACGTCGCCCAAGTGCTTCTTCGAGGAGCTCCCCAAGGACACGCTCGTCGTTGGCCACTACACTGCCGAGGAGTGGGATGACCGGATCAACCAGTGGGCCAAGCACGATGGTCTTAGCATCTACATCTCCGTTGATGTAAGTCAAACCCCTTGGTCGCGCATCCGCCCCCCTTTGGAGCTCCCCATAGCTATGGGCACCTGGGTCACTTTTACTGGCGGGCCCATAAGAGCAAGAAGAATTTCATGCTGACAAGCTACCTCGTAGGAAACCTTCGACAACGACCACCGTGTGGTTTCTCAGCGCGGCCAGGCATCAGGCCGTTTCACCTTCACGGCTGCCGACGCCGGCGACCACATGCTCTGCTTCACCCCTTCTTCCACCTCTGGCCGCGCCGGCTGGCTCTCGCTCCACTCCCACAACGGTGGTATCCGTCTGACACTTGACCTCGCTATTGGCGAGAGCACCGAGATTGAGAGCTCCGACAAGAGCAAGCTCGAGGATATCGCGACCCGCGTTAAGGACCTCAACGCTCGTCTGCAGGATATTCGCAGGGAGCAAGTCTTCCAGCGTGTAAGTCTCCCACCATCAGAGCCGATACAGAAGCTTTCTCTCTCACCGTTCGAGACGGGAGAGATGGCGTCCATTGGCGCCAATGTGTATCAAGGTACCAAGTAATGCTAACGAAAACGAATCAGGAACGCGAAGCCGAGTTCAGAGACCAGTCCGAATCCACCAACGCCCGTGTCATCAGATGGATGCTTATCCAGCTTACCGTTCTCGCTGTTACCTGCACCTGGCAATTGTCTCACCTGCGGTCATTCTTCATCAAGCAGAAGCTCACATAAGGGCAACAAAAATAGGGGTTGGGGCGTGCTTGTTGCGCTCCGCAAGAGCAGAGAAGGGTCGATTGGCCATGCTCAGTGCTTGGTAGGGCCTCATACAGAGAGAGGGAGGCTTCCAAGTTGCTCATTGCATCAGGCCACTGCGGCCAGGGGCTGGGCAACGGATTTGTAATGATATACACACCAATTGTAGCTACGAAAAGCGAGGCTCGGTCAATGAAGCATACGTCGAATGTCAGAATTCTTACTTGTGTCTTGCGAGGCGAGATATCCAATTATCGTGCGCCCCAGAACTCACATATTGCAATATTTTCCAGTCTTGTGAAAGAGCTAGTTCTGAACTACTCATCTATGAACTTGCCCCGAGTGAAAGCTTCCGTTTACAGCTAAACGCGCCTCATACGTGCCGTCATCAGACCGGACGGGTGTAGCAAGGCCAACCGCGCGTGAATCTCAGTTCAGAGCAAGGTGCTGAAGCTTCTTGTCCTCATTCGACTTTACAATCACCTATATTGGAGGACGTCCATCGAGACCGTTCCAGAGTGGCAACACGCAAGGGCTGTCTCCTTCGATCGCCAGTAAGTGATATGAACGCCCAGCGGGAAAGCTGAGAAGGCCTGCAGCAGAACGGATCGAGCAGTGCTCATATATGGGCCGGCAACATGGTCATAACGGCGATAGGATCAGATGAAATGTGAAGTCAGGCTGCTAATCCCAACTATTCTTTTACCAGACCGGTAGGCAACCGTGGAGTGGAGATGTCGATCTTGTCACCTGTCCGAGGCTCACAATACAGGAGTGGTAGAGACATACAGTAACCTCCATGTATATACGTAGCACCCACACGAGGGGACTCAAGTTATGGCGATCGGTGTCGAGACAGAAGGTGACAGAGCTTCATGCTTGCTAGCGGCCATGTCACCTCTTCTCAAGCTTCTATTGAACCCCAAGTGCACCACATTGTACTTTTGCTTTCAAAGTCACTTTTGGCTGCATGACTTGGAATACCACTTGGGCGTATCCAAGGTTTCGGTACCCTCCCATAAGTGAAGCTCGGAAAGTAGATTCACATGCCTCATAGCAGACACAAGGTTACAGTCCCATCAAATTAGTCAAACATTGCTCATCGTCTGAAGTAAATAAGAAGAGTGGGTATATTGCCATTCAAAAAGGATTCAAACGTCTCGTCAGCTCCTAGATCTATACTTTGATCGCCCGCCGATCACAGCACGCTCAGCCTCCCCTTCGCCTCAGGACCAAGCGGCAGCTCAGCCATCCTCTGCTCCTCAAGCCTCTTCATCTCGTCCCTCGTCGCCCTCCGCGTGAGAGCGTCCTCCATCTTCCTCAGCGCGAGCTCCCTGTTGACCAGCCGAGAAAAGGCCCGCAGCGTAAAGTCGTCCGCCTCGTGGCCCGAGGCCTCGAGGCGCTGGAGGGACAGCACCGTCTTGTTGACGTCCTGGGCCCTGGCGTAGCCCGCGATCAGGGTGTTCCAGGTGACCAGGTTCGGCTCGACGCCGTGCTGACGCATTTGGGCGAGGATTCGCTCCCCGGAGCCCTTTTCCTTACTGAAGCCGTGCAGGAGGATGCTCCAGGTGTAGACGCTTGGAGCAGGGTGCAGTGGCGCGGGAGAAACGTCAGTCTCCTTGATATCGCTCTGCGGGACTTTGCTCTCCGGTGCTTGTCTATCTTGAGCCCCAGTCGGTTGAACCTCGGTCTCCTTGACCTCAGTCCCCCTGCTGTCCCTTCTCCGCTTTGAAGATTGCTTCGCTGCGTCGGCTGCTCTGCTCCGCTCTTCGAGCGTGTACTTGAGCATGTCGCCGACGATATCCAACGCGGCACGTAGCATGCCTGGATATTTGCAGAGCGCCTTGATAAGGACGTCGTACATGAATGACCCCTTCTCCTGCACCAGCTTGGTGGCGCCGGGGCTGCCCTTCAGGATCTCCTGTCTGAGATACGCGTAGAGTGAAATGAGGTTGATGGGCTGTGACATGCTCCTCACGTATGCGAGGAACATGATGCTCAGGGTTGCACTCGTCGGTTCCATCTTCTCATGGACCGCGGACATGGCCCTGTCAAGTGCAGGAAACAATTGTCGAGCCAACTCCCAATCCGCTGGCATCTGCAGGCCTTCTTGGCCCTCGAGGTACATTGACAGGTCCACGGGAAGGAGAGCCTGCAATGGTGCCAAATGGAACACCTTTGAGTAGAAGTGTAACATTGGCCCAAAGGCCGGCATGACACCGGGCGTCCACTTGCAGAAGTGGAGCAGGCACATCAGTAGGTCGTTGAAGAAGGGAACATCGATCTCGTTGCCCTCGACAGCTCCTATGACGGCAGATTCGATACTCGACGGCGAAAGAGCTCGCTTTCCTCCGTCTAACAGAGTAGACCACATGATCATGTCTGGTTCAAAGTTGTGCCGTTGCATAACCCGGAAGACCTCCCCTGCGACTTCATTCTGATCTGTCAGGCACAGCGACCTGATCACTGCCGTGTAGTGCACCATATTGGGAGCAAAGCCATGCTCTATAAGGGTGACGAATGCGTCCGCAGCTGAAAACCCGTCGTCAACCTTGATTTGGCCACGCTTGAGACTCAAAATTGAGGTACACAAAGATGCCCACAGGCCTGAATCGAGATCAACACCTTGGTCTGGGATAGACTCGATGGCCATCTGGAGAGCTAGATTCTTATGCAGGGGGCTGATTGCAAGTCGTCTGGCCATGTTTTGGAGAGTGTTGCTGTGGAGTTGGACATCCTTTTCCCTCCAACAATCGTAAAGGACTATCAAGGTGGGCAATTCTACCTCATGCGTCAGCATGTAGATGGTGTTTTGCCTCAGGGGAATGTAAGCCGCAGGTAGACGTTCAAAGACCGTCACGACCACGTTACAAAGCTGTCTTCTCTGCTCGGTAAGCTCAGGCTTGGATAGTTGACTTTGCCATTTTGCAAGGAAGTGGATGGCATCACTGATGGCGTAACCCGGCGGCTTGATATCGCGGGTAGTGATTTCGAGGATGGCTGCAGCCCGATCAGGACAAGACCATAAAGCAGAAAACATGAGCTTTCGCCACTTTGTCTTCTTCTGCTCCTCAGTCCAAGTCGCCCATTGCTCGATCGCGTCCTCAACGGCTTGACGGTCTTGGATCCAGCTGAGGACTTTTGGGACTTTGTAGTCTTCGCCGAAAGATGCGAATCCGTACAGCCTTTTGCAGTCGTTTTTCCAATTCTCAAAGTCTTTCAACTCCTTCTTGGTCATGCGATGGCGGAGGTACCCATATTCCAGGTATCTTCTCTTCCTCTCTTTGACGAGCTCAGAAATCCAGGTGTCGGCATTTCCTGATGTGAATTCGTATTTCTTTTTCCTCTCTCCTCCATTCTTAGGAGACCATGTGTCGATGTTTTTCGAGGTGAACTCTGTTCGTTTACGGCTTGTTTCGGCATTTATGGGTGCTCCGATTGGCGTTGGCGCGTTTCTCGATCCTGGCTCGACTAATCTTTTTATTTTGCGAATTCGAAACGGCCGTTCTGTGGAGGGTTCTATAGCGGAAGTGGTATTGGGTCGAACTTGGAAGGAGGTTTGGATATAACTATTCGCTGCGAGGTTGCCGCGTTGTCGGATGTGTCGTAGACATTGTCGGCCTGCTAAGGAGTGCGACATCGCAGGTGTCATATCGGAGTGTTAAAGCCAGAGCTTCCGGTCGTTACGGACAGGTGTAGCTTCGCCGGCATTCGAGCTACGACGGTGCGACCGTGATTTCGTTAACTGTCTTGGAGCATCGGGGGTAAGGTATCCGCAGTTTGAAGCTGTAGTCTGTGAACTGGAGTCTTATTTTATTTTTTTGCGACAGACGGTAGCTTCTCCTAGACCCCTGCGAGCTAAATGCGATTTTGAAGGATGGAAGACCGTGCATCCGCTAGTGCATTTCGTGGAAGTATCCCGCCGTGGTAGCAATGGTGTGCCCCACTGCGAACCGAACTTGAACTTTCAACCTTCAAACTCTCGATTGAACGCGCGCACCAAAAGCCATAATCTCACCTACACTCCTCTTCGAAGAATATCTTGCCGACCTACCACAATATCGTTCGTTGCGATAAGCCTTTCTCAATTATACCATCATGTCGAGCTCCCAAGCCACCCTAAGCGCGGTAACAGACGAGCGCAAAGCGCGCCTCGCGAAGCTCAAGAACCTCAAGAGAAAACAACCTGCGGATGAGATCGTTGCGCCAGAGTCAGAACGCGCAGCCTCGCCCCCAACAGAGCCGGACGTCACAAAATTGCACCTTTCCGGGCGCAACTACGACCCAGAAACGCGTGGTCCCAAACTTGGCTTCGAGGCGCCCCCGACCCAAGACCTAGAGAATCCTACACTGGAAGAGCTCGCGGCAGACATTGAGGAGGATGTGAAGCAAAAGGCAGCCGAAGACGCGCAGGACGACAAGGGTATCGATCTGTTCAAACTTCAACCGAAAAAGCCGAATTGGGACCTGAAGAGAGACTTGGAGAAGAAGCTGGAGATTCTCAACGTTCGGACGGACAATGCTATTGCGAAGCTGGTGAGGGAACGCATCACAGGAGCTCAGAAAGCGGCTACACAGACCAAGCAAGTCGACGCAGGCAGCAGAGAGGGCGACGCAGCTGGAATTGATGGTATTGCATTAGTGGAGGGAGTGCGCGTACGCGAGAGGGAAGAAGAGGATGAGAGACGAGAGAAGGCGGATGAGGAGGATGAAGATTTGGCTGTTTAAGCAGCAAACCCTGGCGCGAGTGGTAGAACGCCCTTGTATTTTACAGTTGCGGAGCAGGCATAGACTCCATTTGGCCTGCGTATAATTGATACCCCATAGCTACCTATTCAGGGACTGTGTCAACGCCAGTCTCTTGGAAAATGGACTGAGACTGCGCTCTCGTTCTGGCTGTCGCTCAGATCCACCCCCCTGCCTTTGGTTCTCACCACCTCGGCCCAGTGTAGGCTGAGGCTCGTCTCGATATCCGTCGTTTCTGCCAGCACGTCGACTTGGGCCGCTTTGTGGCCTCGCACCACGACGGTCGGGAGACCGGGACAACGACCGCCTGCTCCCAACAGCATCCATACCACGTCCTGAGGTGGATGAATCCCTGGAATCGGGCGAGTAGCGCGCATGACTCCTGGCCGTTGGTCTAGCGTGATCCGCATCCCTCTGACGATAGTTTTGCCCCTGGGTTCCGACGGGTGAACGACTGTCCCGCGAAAGTGATCTCTGGCGGCGTCGAGGCGGAGACTGAGTCCGTCTGCTTGCTGCTGACCTTCTTGAGACAGAGCGACCGTCGTCGCTCTCCGGACTAAACGACCTCTGTCTCCGCGGAGCAGAGGCGGGAGATGGTGAGCGCCGTCTAGGCGGAGGCGAAACAGAGCGGTTTGTTGAGATGGTGGAAACGGAGTCAACAGACTCGGATCGCCTGCGCTTACTCTCTGTTTGCCTGATGAGTTCGTCGTCTCTCTCGTCTAGCTCCCTCTTTCTCGCTCGCTCAGCTTCCTTCTTCGCGAGCTCCTCGTCAGCGATACCTTTCCTACTCCACGACTTAGCTACATTGATCACATGAAATACAAACGAAGGTGAGAAACTGACTTTCTTTGCGCATCATCTGGCGTATCGTTTGTCAGTTTGGGCATCAGCTTCGGGTTGCGCAGCTGTTGAGTTCGGGACGGCCGAGACACATATGGTCGGGCCGTAGCCGACTCCTTGCACTCATAAGAGTAGTGACGTTCTGTGAGAGTCAGCTTGATTATTGCAACGTATGGTTTGCTTGTAGACTTATCTCTTTTGAGACACTTTTGACATTGGACGTTTGCTGGGGTGGACTGGCGAGGTCCGCCACGGCCTCTGTAGGGGTGCATTGAATAGTTCCGCTACTTGAGCGAAGGGTTTGCCGTAATTTGAATAGCCGTCGTTGCGCTGGCGTCTTCAATCAGGCTCTTGTTGGAATCGCACTGTTGTAAGTCTGGACAGAGATTGATGGTCCGATATGATGAGATCAAGCGGATGAGATTTTCTTCCGTTTTCTTGCTTGGGGCGCGAGCCTTTGGTACAGCAATGGCGTTTTATTATTAGTGACAGGTTCTTTGGTGTTTTGCCGTTGCAGCTGAATTTCAGTTGTAGCCAGCTCTGTCGAAAGTGGTTTACTTCAGCGACAGAGGAATGAGGTTTGGCTCCAACGATGGGCAACTCGGACGCTTATGTAAGGTGGAGGAAATGATCGGAAAACCTGCACCAGCCCCAGAGGCACCCGCCACAAACCTAAGGTTTCCGTTAGGAATCTGCCGGCACTAAGCCACTCTCGGCACAGCCTCTGGTCTTTTTGTCTCTCACCAACCAACCTACCCTACCCAGGCCCGAGACCTGCTTGATGGTCATCAGAATTCCCGTATTCCATTCCCAATCATACCCGACTCTTCAGCCTGACGTCCCACAAGACGTTGCGGAGGGGATGGCAGCCGTCTGACACCACTTTCATCGACTTGAGACCGTGGTCCGCTCGATTGGGAGTTGCCAACACTGAAGCTTCTCGCTAAGGTTCTATACTACGTCTCTGCGACCGGAGATACCTCGCAACTGAGGGAACAGAGAGAGAGAGAGATTGAGAGAGAGTGTGTGTATGTGTGAGAGGGCCTCACGCAACACGAGTGTGAGATTGAGACACAACGTTGTCATCGGATTACGGATATCGGTACCTATTGAACCTAACTAGCGAGTGAGGAGTGCGTGAGTGACTGATCTCGCACTGCAAGTTACCCGGGGTGAACAAGAGCTGAGAAGTCGTTGGCTCTGTTCTCCAGTTTCCCCATCCTCTTTTTTCCCTTTGCAGCGCAATCCCAAAAACCCACACCACAGCTCTGCCAATTCCCTCCCACTACCTTAAACCATCGTCTGCACCACACCACACCACCCACACCACACCCCTCTCCCCCAAGCCCGTGACGGACTATCCGCCTCGCAGGCCGCCAAAATTTCACGTCGCCTCGTCTCAACCGCTGCGCGCCTATCTACCAGCTACCTGCAACCAAACCTTTCCCACAACCACTGACGGATAGTCACTCAGGCGCACATCTATTCGACAACGAAACACGCAACGGACAACTCCCATTTCTCCCCTGCGACGAGAAACTGGGTCCATCATTCACCCAACATTCAGGAATACAAAAGCTACGATGACGACCTTGTCCCGACGATGATCCACGGTATTTCTTCCTCTGCAGGCTCGCCTTGATCCAGTTTGTTCCTTGCTTTCGGACCTCGTCTTTAATCCTTTTTCGACCCGATCTCTTATTTCGTCTCATCGCGCGCCTACCATTCTACCTGCGCGAAGCTACTTCATTGGACGACTTTCATTTCCATCTCACTGCCCACGGCTGAAGCTGGGCCATCCTCCAAACCTCTTCTCTGGCTATGGCTACAGCCCAGATGTCATCTGACATTCCTAAGCCATCTTTCGCAAAGGTGCGATTTGCTCCCGAGCTACCCCTCGTTCTCGAAGCTCAGTAGTTGCCTAGTGATGAATGCTGACAATCTCTGCGCTATTCTAGGTCGCTGCATCGGCATCAAAAGATTCCCAACCCGTCACTACCGTCAGACCAGTTGCTGCGCCAGCTCAAGCCCGTCCCAGCCAAGCTTCTCCTACCGGGGCTGCCTCTATACCCGCATCTGCCACCTCAGACGCAGTTGATACTCGCCAATCCGCAATCATGAACTCCACGAAGTCTGCGCCGACTGTCGCTAAGCGCGAGCCCACCCTGTCCAAGAAGCCCGAAGCGACCGGTGCCGTATTGGATGGATTGAAGGATTTGAGCATTGGGCAACCGACACCGAGCCTCGTTGTGAACGGAACAGGCTCTTCGTACGCTGAGCGATCAAAATCTATAACCAAGGATGGGTCGGACGACTCCCAGAGAGCTGACTCTAGCTCGGAGCTCGGTACCAAGCCTCCCAGTCTGGACGGAAAGAGTATCACGTCGGGAACGACCTTTGCGCTGGACGAGAAGGAATCCCTGAGGCCAGATGACAGTGCCAGCGTCAAAGCCGCCGCTGCCGAGGACGACGATTCCTTCTCATTCCGAGGGCCAAATCTACCAAACTCCAGAATGGGTTCCGACATTGCGGCGCGTGCTAGAGGCATCATCCAGCTTGGCGACATGCCCGATCGCCGTCTAGCCCAACCTATCTCCGGCTCCTTGAGCCAAGGCATGATCACACCGCAGAGTGCTTCGTCAGATCAACCACAGATGCCCATCCCTAACGCTCTGTCTGCTAATCTCCCCGACTCTGCCAATCTTTTGAATACCATTTACGGACAGGCACCGGATGAAAAACTCTTGGAGGCTATGGCTTCCCCGAAGGATCGGCTGTTTCTATTGCGATTGGAGGCCGAATTGATCAAATTTGTTCAAAATTCCAAGTGAGTACCGACGGATTGAATCAATGTGCAGTCATTAACAGCGATATCAGAGACCCGTACATGGACTTCCCGCCTTCAAATTCATTTTGTAGGATGCTCACACATAAGCTGGCTGACTACTACCGCATGACGCACCAGTATGAAGCTCGTGTGGGATCTGTCCGAATCTTCAGAACCCCTTACGCCAGAGTACCTGAGTCGCTTGCTAGTATCGCTGCTCCGGAAACCAATGCCGAAACGCCTCCTCCTCCAGCGGTCCTGCCTCGGAAGATCATGCGACGTGGGGAGGATGGGGAATTCGGTAGCAACAGCGCTTCTCCATCCAAGGCCACGTCTGAGACCGGCAGTGACTCTAAGGATAAGTCTGCTGCGGCAAATCAGAAGTATTCCACCCTCTCCTCTCGAATGATTGCAACTTACTGACGTGTTCAGATTGTCGCGAGAGCAGCGTGAAGAAGCGTACAAGCAAGCCCGAGAGAGGATATTCGGCAATTCTGAGAAGACTGGCGAATCTACGCCTGGTATGTGTGACTATCACGTTTCCTTCGAACCGCCACTGATCGTGTTCCAAGATAACGAAATTGAGAATGGCGTTTCACGTGCCAGCTCCGTTTCGGCGAGGGAAAAGCCTGGTGTCAGCAAACGGGGCAAGACTGGGAAGCAGAGACGGGATGATTCAGACAGTTTCGACTCGAGGCACAACTACACGCCATACTGGGGCCCGCAGCAACAGACTTGGGTGCCTCAACCTCAGTATGTTCCTGTGTCAAACCAGTACGGTGCGCCGGTGCAGCAACCGTATCCCAACCAAATCCCCGCAGCCCCTTACAACACCACACCCACGCAAACATTTGCTCCCATGATGCCTAACGCGGGCTACAATGCGGGTTATCCTAACATGACACCGGTAAGAAAACCCTTCCTTCCTCAACTTCAGAAAGCTGACCGGGACTAGTATCCGCCTCCGGCAAACCAGGCCCAGTTCCAAGCTCCTCCGAATGCAAGGAGCTATGGTGGTTCTGGCCCTACTCCTCCACAGCAAGGTTGGCAACCACAACCAGGGTTCGGACCGGCGCCGGTGCCGATGACTCCACCTTCAACGGCTAACGCCACGGCTTATACGCCTCGGGGCATGTCGGCGCCGCCCAGTCAAAGCACTGTTCCGTACATGTATGGGCAGTTGCCGGCCAACATCAACCCGAACGACCCAAAGAGCCAGCATCCCATCCCCGGCAGCTACAATCGCCACGCCTTCAATCCCAAGACGCAGTCATTCGTCCCTGGGGGTGGCATGTCTCCGATGCAGCCACCACAGCCGCCATTCAGTGCTCCTGGATCTCACCACGGTAGCCCCCAGATCGGCTCACCACATCTGGCATACGCCGGTTATCAGCAGCAAGGACCACCAGCACCTTACGGCTATGCCATGGCGAGGCAAGGATCGAACAACTCGATTCCTTCGTACCACCCGCCTCCGCCCCAGCACCCTCATCACTTGAACCCTATGCCTCAAGCACCGGTTCACCATATTCCTCAACATCCTCCGCAACACATCCCACAAAACCCCTCCCCTCATATTCCCAACAAACCCGCCATCCCTCAGGGTCCGGCTGGACAGACGTTCAGCCACCTGCCCCACTACGGCAACCCTGCTACTTTGCCGCAAAAGCCAAACATGGGTATTTAGGTACGCGCTTGATGTTGTTGGACGGTCCATGGCAGAATGAACGGCGTACAGGGGTTTTCAAGGTACAGCATACTGGCGTTCACACAGGAGGGATAGGATGGCATCAGATCATGTAGGCTATTGCATGCTAGAACACTTACGCACCTTAATTATCACTCAAACCTTTTTTCAAAGTATTCGTACGTCGCAACCTGAACAGACGACTCTTGTGTGGGTGTGTGTGTGTCTTGAATATTTGCATGAAAGCGTGAATAATCATCATTGCAACTGCCTAGCGCATTCTACCCTAGGCCGTCTAATTCTGCTACTGCCATAACGCCAGGATGGTTTTATCAAGTGTGGGTTCCTCATGATGCCATGCTTGCTAACCTTGCGGCAGAAAATTACCCAGCATCGCGGGCCAGCTTGTCCTAGGTCTCTTTCAGCCTCTCGACCTCCTATCTCCTTTTTAAGGGGTGTTAGGTTTGGTTCAGTCCTCTCTTCCACATGGCTTTTGCATGTAAAAGGAGAAATTCCTCTCTTTTTCTTTTCTTTCTCAAACAAATTAGCTTGTCCCCTTTTTTCCTTTACTCGGTAGGTTCCCTCGGCTCGCGAGGCTCGCGGGGCTCCCTAGGCTCTCCCCTCTGGCCGCCACCACCACGACCGCTGCCGCGTCCGCCGCGCTTGCCGCCACGCTGACCACCCCGCTGCTGCTCGCCCTTCTCGCCGCCCTCGGTCGTCTTGCCCTCGCCGTCCTTCTCGCCGCCGGTGAGGTTGGCAACAGCCAGCCGTTGCGACAGGTCGATCTGGGTGCGGATGGTGTTGGCCAGGTAGGAGACCATGAGGACGTCCTGGATGTGGTTGTTGAAGTCGTGCTCAATCTGCTCGGGGTCGACCTTGGGGGCGAGGGAGAGGGCGTTCATGAGGTACTGTCCGAGGGCCTGGTTGGGCTCCTCGTCCTCGTCGAGGATACCGTTGACCCAGTCGCTGACGCGCTCGATGAGGTTGGCGCCGGACTCGATGGAGCGGGCGAGGCCCTCAATGTCGGAGACGACGGGGGCGGTGCGGTCCTCGGTGTCCTTGGCCATGGAGATGGCCTCGAGGGCGCTGCGCTCGGCGTCGCCGTACATGAGCTTGTGGGGCACCTGGATGAAGAGGCAGCTCTCGGCGGCGCGCTCGGCGTTGACGGCAACGGGGGCGGAGATGTAGCATCGGGCCTCAATGTCGGAGGTCGGGTCGGTGCTGATGGTGAGGTGGACGGCGGGGTGGGGGAACGTGCCGGTCTCGGGGGAGGCGAAGAAGTTCTGGATCAGGGCGGAGAAGGAGTTGAGCTCGTGGGTGGTGGTGTACCAGCCCAACAGGGACTCGCGCGGGTTGGCCTTGAGGGTGAGGGCGAGCATGTTCTTCTGGTAGTCGACGTCCACCTCGACCTGGTCCTCGTTCTCGGTGTGGGGGATGGCGAAGCAGGAGCGCACTTCGACCTCGGTGCCATCTTCGGAGCGGACACCAACGAGGGCGCCGATAACGCGGGTTGATTGCGTATCGCGGATGTCTCTTCGCACGGCATGGTCGAGAATGGAGAGGATGGCCTGGAAGGAGGAGGTGGGGTTAGCGACGAGCAGTTGGGGTTCCCCACGGGGGGTAAGCTGTATTGATGATGAATGTGTATATATGTCATGGCCTTGTTAAGGTCTATGACATGTCTCGGGTAATGATATCAGGTCCTGCAGCGTAGCAAGAGGTGTCGTACCTGGGGCTGAATGTTGACGGTGAGCGGGGCAATGTTGCCTGGGATGCCAATCGTGGCCGGCGCGATGGGCCGCGAGAGGTGGAGGAACTTCTCAGTTTCGGCGACAGCCATGCTGGGCAGGTTGGATCTCGGGTCGTCGAGGTTCTTTCGAAGGGGGAAGACCTGCGGTTGAGGAGGAGATATCGAGAAGAGGAGGGGAGGGGGAGGGCGGGTTTCGGGTTGGTGGTGATGCGCGGGCCAAAAATTGAAGAGTGGGTTTGGGGTCTCTGGTCGGAGCGTTTTTTCGCGATAGGTCGCTTCAAAAAATCGTCGAACTCTTTCGCTTTCTCCTAGTGGGCAGTTTGCCGATTTTGCGATTTGTGGTTGGCCCCTACTGGGTTGTGCGCGCTAAGATAAGACACGATAACGGCCTCTGTGGCGGAAGTGCCCCGCTGTGGCTAGTGACTAGTGTGGGATTTTCTGCAAGGCTCATATGGCCGACTTACAACATTTTTTCCGTCGACCAAGTGAATGATTTTTGCTTCAGTGAACAACATTTTTAACCCTTTTTTTCTTCTGAAAGCTTATATCTTGCTGTCTATGTTCACGCAGAACTTCAGTGACAGATCGTAAGATATCATGGGCCCCAGAGGTAGAGGTCGGGCCGGATTCCGGGGAGGAAGCAGAGGCGGTGCCCGTGGTGGTGGCAGAGGAGGTGCAAGAGGGAGAGGAGGCGCAAGAGGCCGAGGTAGAGGAAGAGGAGGCAGAAGGTTTGATACTGCGCGTCTGGAAGAAAAAGAGTATGTTTAACCTTCCCGAACATTTTGTGAAAAATTATGAAAATCTAACACTGTCAGGTCTTCAGATGATGAGTCCCAAGAAGAGGGAGACTCTGAGGCAGAGGAGGATTCTGATGTCTCCATGTCTGATGATGAGGATGAAGATGAGCAGCCCCAAAACACACGGCCTTACATGGCGCTCCTCCAAGGATTTAAGGAGTCTTCAGAACCAAGTGCCAAAAGACGGAAGCTCGAGAGCGGCAAATCAGAAGCGACCGCCAAGGCCGAGTCTGAGTCCGAGTCTGAGTCTGAAGCTGGATCTGGAAGCGATTCTAAGTCTGATGGCGATGAGGCCGAGGAGGAGGACAAAGATGTTGACAGGGTCGAGGAGGCTGAAGACCCGATGGCTGATTTGGAAGAGGAAGCGGAGCAGAGCGACGATGAAGACGACGTCGATGCCTCAGATCCATTCGACAACCACTTCGCTACCCCTGACGAAAATGTGACGGCGAAGAGAGTCAAGGCGATCCAGAAGAATGACTGGACTTTCAAGCGGACAATGTCCAAGGTTTCAAAGGCCGTGGTGACGTACCCTCAAGCGGAAGGAACGGACGCCCCGACGATCCCATCACCGATCGCCGGCTTGGATAGCCTCAAGCTCAAGCAAAAATTGCGGGAGACCGCCTCGAAGAAGATTGGCTCACTCGATACGCTGCAACGAGCGATTGCTCCGACGATATTCAATTACAACGACGTGTTGTACGATAACCGAAACACTCAGAACTCCAACGGCTTACGGCAGCTTGTATGCTTACACGCCGTCAACCACGTCTTCAAGTAAGGGACCTACCTGGAGGTGACTTGCCTTGAATTTCAAATGCTTACATACAAACAGGACCAGAGACAGAGTCATCAAGAACAACTACAAACTCTCGAGAGAAGAGAATGCCGATCTCGAGCTCAGAGATCAGGGCTTCACGCGCCCCAAGATCCTATTCCTACTGCCAACAAGACAATCCTGCCTAACAATTGCAAACACAATCGAGGATATGTGCGCGCCGGATCAGCGGGAAAACAGAAAGCGGTTCGACGATGCGTACACCGACGAGGACGTCAAATTCGGAGACGACAAGCCCGCCGACTTCCGCGACCTTTTCGAGGGCAACGACGACGACATGTTCCGGATCGGTATGAAGTTCACGCGCAAGACCGTCAAGTACTTTTCGCAATTCTACAACTCGGACATCCTGCTCGCCAGTCCCCTGGGCCTGCGCATGGCCATCGGCTCCGACGAGGACAAAAAGAAGATGGACTACGACTTTCTCAGCTCCATCGAGATGGTTGTCGTCGACCAGGCCGACGCCCAGCTTATGCAGAACTGGGAGCACGTCGAGTACATTTTCGAGCACATGAACCTCCAGCCAAAGGACGCCCACGGCTGCGACTTTGGCCGCGTGCGCAGCTGGTACCTTGACGACCAGGCAAAATACTTCCGTCAGACCATCGTCCTCTCAGGTTTCAACACGCCCGAGCTCACCGAACTCTTCCGCACGCAGTGCCACAATTGGGCCGGCAAGGTCCGCTTCCAGGCGGACTACCCGGGCGTCCTCACGCAGCTCGGCATCAAGGCCCGCCAGACCTTTTCCCGCTTCGAGTGCCGCTCTCTCGAGAAGGAGCCCGACGCGCGCTTCGACTATTTCGTCTCGGCCATCCTCCCCTCCCTCATCAAGCGCGCGAGGGACACCTCAGGCACCCTCATCTTCATCCCCTCGTACCTCGACTTCGTCCGCGTGCGCAACTACTTCTCCGCCAACCCGGCCGTCGCCGCCCTTTCCTTTGGCACAATCTCCGAGTACGCCGACGTTCCCGAGGCCTCGCGCGCCCGCTCCCACTTCATGACAGGCCGACATAAGGTGCTCCTCTACACGGAGCGAGCGCACCACTTCCGGCGGACGCCGATCCGCGGCGTCCAGCGCGTCATCATGTACGGCCTGCCGGACAACCCAATCTTTTACCGCGAGATCGCGGGCGACTACCTCGCGCGCAGCGAGCAGGATATGAGAATCGAGCCTGGCCAAGGCACCGTGCGCATCATGTTCTCAAAGTACGATGTCATGAAGCTGGAGCGCGTGGTCGGTACGCAGCGCGTAGGCAAGATGATCCAGGAGAAGGGCGATACCTTTGATTTTGTGTAAGAAAAAGGAGAAGAGCGCAAGATAGATGTGTTTTGCTGCCACATCATGGCAGACGTTCAAAAGTTATCTTTTTTTGGAGCTTCCGTAGTATACATGTATACCCTACACGACAGTAATCTATAGACTGGCCAGGTATTTCCCTCTTGATAATACACCATTCCTATCAGTTACATTTTCTTCTCACGCCACATCGTTCTCTCTGCTTTGAGCAAAGTTTTTGCCCCTATCCGGCAGACGACAGATCTCCTATATCGACTGAGATCGCATCAAAACAAAAGCCTCGACTCGGCTTTACGCCTTCTTGGCGGCCTTCACCTTCTTAGCCTTAACCTTGGCTCCCTCCAACAACTCCTCCTTCTTCGCCGCCTTGGCATCCGACCGGGCCGTGAGCAGCCTGAAGCTGGCCACCATGTCGTCGAACGCCGTCTTGCCGTCCTTGCGGTACCTCGTCACCTTGGCGACGTTCTTCTTGGTCAGGTCGGTGCTGCGGTGGCCGGAGTCCTTGTCGTGGGCGACGGCCTTGGCCGTCATCATGAAGCGCACGTCGCGGGGCCCGTCGACGAGCTCGAGGATCGCGGAGGGCGCCTGGTCGTAGGTGCTTCGGGGCTCGGTGCGCAGCACGCGCGTGTAGCCTCCCGGTCGCTCGGAGTAGCGTGTGCGGAGCTCGCCGAAGAGCTTGGGGAGGAGGTCGTGGGGTGTCTAATGTTACGTCCTTTTGTCAGTTTCGGTTTGTTCTTTTTGCACCTCCGTCTCTGTTTGGGGACCAGTAGCTTCTTCCATCTTGAAGAGCTGCCGAGACCACCAGGGGTGGTTTGTCCAACTCACGTAGAGAATCGCCTGAGCTTTCCGCCTCGTCTCCTCGTTGTCGCGCTTCGCGTAGGTGATGAGCTTCTCAGCGAGGCGCTGAGCCTCCTTGGCCTTAGCAAAGGTGGTGTGAATGTGCTCGTGAGCGACGAGGGAGGTGACGAGGCCGCGAAGCAGGGCCTGTCGTGCCGACGAGTTGCGGCTCAGATGCCTGTACTTGGTGAGACCTCCCGCCATGGCTGCTGTGAATGTGTTGAAGTCGTCTCAATTGAGGGAGGGAAGTGGGCGGGAGCAACCCGTTTGGTTTCGTTTTCGTCTGTAGGCTGCACGGGAACAGCTGCTCTGCGTGGTGAACAGGTCGGTGGACTTCGGAGCAGTTTGAGGCTATCGAATCGAATTGGATCGTCCAAAAAGCCGTGCTGATAGCCCTTTGGAGTCGCTCGTTGCAATCCGTCGGCTGTCGTCTCCCAAATTTTTGGCGCAGGGTGCTTCGGAGCCTCTGGTTGGCTTAGAGGGACAATTAGGCGGGGACTGTAGTTCAGTGTTCCTGCCGCCAGATGCTAAGGCACCTTGACCCCTGCCCGTCGCCGAAATCCACCCGGGGAGGCTGAAAGTCGCTCGCTCGCTCGCAAGCCCGATTAATTAACGTCATTCCGCACCGAAGCTGCCCGTCCCGCTTCTCGGAGGTCAATTCAGTGACAAGCGACAACGCCAATTCGGTTCGACTTCCTACGACGTGCTTGCTCCAATTGCATCATGAAACCTTGAAGCCGAATACAATCTACGGAGAGGAACCATAATATCAAATCCCAGTCTTCAATTGCGCCCGTCGCATTTGGACTGGATCAACAGCCATCATGGGCTTCACCACTGGATTCGTACGCTACACTCCTCATCCTCTCTTTCTCTCTCTTTCTTTCTCTTGCACTCCAGAAACCTATGACGGAGATTTTATACACGTACTATTGGCATATCGTATAGCTAACTATCATACCTCATCAAACAGACCGGCGGTGTAACCGTAACCCTAGGCGTAGCCTACCTCACAGTCCTCGCCCACCAACGCAACCGCGAAAGCCAATCCCACACCCTCCGCACCCAACACCACGTCCTCTCTTCCCTCCTCGAGCCCCAGATCCGCATCCCCCCGCCCCTGACCCGCGCCGAACAGGCCGTCAAGGACCGCGAGACGCTCCTCACCTCCGCCAAAGACCGCTGGAACCGTGAGGTCGAGAACGCCGTCCGCTGGGCGCAGCGCACCGACTGGGGCGAGGTGCGCGAGGGTCTCGAGAGCGGCGCCGCGCGCTTCTGGGGCGGCACCATTGAAAAGGCCGGCGAGGCGGAGCAGGCCGTCGAGAAGAGCGCCGTCCCGCTGGCCAAGGAGGCTTCGGCGAAGGGCGCTGCCGCTGCGGAGGCGTCGGGTGCGGAGGTCAAGAAGGAGGCGCGCAGCGCGTGGGAGCGCGCGAGGGAAAAGAGCCTTGCTGCCGAGGAGGCTGCGCGCGCCAAGGCCGTCGAGGCGAAGAAGCTGCTCGACGCGAAAGCCGCCGAGGCCAAGAAGATTGTCGACAGCAAGGCCGCCGAGGTCAAGGCCGTTGTCGGCGACGTGGTGGACAAGGGACGGCGCCAAGGGGAGGCGGTGCTCGTGGCGGCGAAGCAGGCGGTGGGCGTGGCCGAGGACAAGGTCAGCATCAAGGCCGACGGCGCGGTGGCGCCTGCGACGACGCCGGTGCAGAAGGCGCTGCACCAGCGGTATGAGAAGCCGAGCGGGCTGACCAAGAGCGTCAAGGAGGTGCTGGCGGAGCGGTACCGCAAGATGGACGAGCAGGATAATACGCAGCTTCGGGGTATTTGATTTGCCGCGGTTTTTTGAACCACCTCTCTCTCCCGATCGTCAACTTGACAGACGCGGGATTGAGGGGGGGGGCGGGAGGAGAGCGGATGGTGGGATTATTGTACTACCAACCAGACCACACATATAGAATGAAAAACGGCAAGCCTCTTGTTTTTGTTTCTTTTTTGTGGAATCGTCAGTCTTCTTCTTTGGCGCCCGCGGGCGGAAGTGGGACATGGACAGGTGTGCGTGGTACAGCCGGGTCATTTTTTACTCAGATCTCATTTGCCTATAGATTATATCATTCAGGGGGGGCTCGCGGAACGGTGGACGAGATCGAGAAAATCGAAGCTTCGCGGAGGACAAGACAGCTCAGCGTCTTCCAACCTCGCCCACGATCATACGCTCATGTCGAAAAGTAGATCACCCCTTCACAGACTTGAGATTTCCAACGCCACTGTCGACTCCAAGTAGGAGCATCTGCACCCAATGAACACCAGCCAGTCATGCCCACAACGCCAACGACCGCGAGCGACCCCCGCCCGCATCTTCATCCGCCTCCGCGACCGCCTCCAACTTTTCCTCGAACGCTTTGTCGACGGGGACGCCACAGCACAAGCCGGCTTCAGAACCTATAAGGCGCACCGGGACGCGCGATGGCTCGCCAAGGATCGGGGCCCTGCGTCCGCGGCGCTGGCTGCCGTGTCGAATACCGAGGATGAGCCGAGTCGCCGCAGTAGGAAGCGGAGTGCGGCTATGCAGCAGGGGAATCTGGATGTTGCGGGTGGTGGTGGTGGTGACGATGTTCATGAGGGGCTGGATGTTCCCAAGACCAGGGAGAAAGGCAAGGAAAAACAGGTGACGGGGATTCTAGGCCACGATGCTGGGAAGCCATCTACTTTGGAGACGACATCATTGAACGGAATAGAAAAACGGCAAACCAGAGCCCCTTCCCAGCCGCGCAGTCTCTCCAGATCAAGTACGCTTTCATCCATCGTCTCCTCGACCTTCCTGGGAGGTAGTCAGAGACAGCGAAGGAGGGGGAGGAAGAGGGAGAGGTCGGACGCTAGGCCGGGCTACTTTGATCCGGACTCATCACCGGCAGTCAGCAAAGCACCCCACGCGCAGACGTCGGTGGTAATGAGTGATACGCTGGAGATGAATGTACCCGTTGAGCTGGCGAGGAGGTCTTGGGGTGTTCCTGTTGGTACTGCGAGGTAATTGTATGGGAATAAGTCAGGGCTCAATTCCGTGTTGTCACATTCTGGAAGCGTAGGGGGCAGGGGTTTGAGGGGTTTAGAAAGTGGCTGGTGGTAATCCAATCTTCCTCGACAACCCTTAAGCTTTTGCTTCGTTTTTAGAACGATTCCCTCTTCTCCACGGCGATGAAGTTGTTTTCCCTCCTTTCATAATAATACTCAAGAAGAAATAACACTGGGCGTCATGCAACGAAAGTAATAACCTCGATCGCCGTATATATCAATTTCATCTGATGACGCAGGATCTCAAATCTCTTATCACGAACATGCCAATATTTAACGAACGTCAAAGGCATCCTTTTTGCCTTCTTCACATTACTATCGCATAACGTATAGGAAATGGTATATAGCACAGTACCGTCAGACTGTGTCTGAGATGAGGGATAGGACCAAGGCTTCTCTAAGCCTTACATTCACACCCCCTATTTTCATCCCAGCAACATGAGTCCCTTCACTCCAAGCGAGTGTGTCCAACGACAAGTCGAAACTTTTTCTTTCGCATGCCCCCCAATATCTCTCCAAGGCCGGTCATATCTGAAGGGGGACTAAACTTACAATCAAAAGAAAAAGGGTGCGCGAGGGCATGTGTTGTGGTGAGGTTGTGGTTTTTTTTTGGTAAGAAAAAAACACAGTGACAATCGCACTTGGGAAAGTGTGTTTGGGTACCAGAGAGACGAAACAGCGGAGGTGAAGTGTGATAAACGCTCTTTGTGTTTGAAACTCATTCTTGCAACCCATAACTTCATCCGATCAAAGTCCTAAGAACGCCTTCGCTGGGTTAGGGTGTACATACTTACCAGGGCCAAGACCCATCTCAACAACGCACCTGTAGCACCTTTCGCGCCGAGCCCCAAGACCAACTTGACCCAGTAACCAAGCCCGCGGACCTGAATACCATTGCGGTCAAAGTCGGGCTTGTCATTTGTCATGCCCTGGAGGCGCTTGAGCTCCTTAGGGGAGTACGGCATGTAACGGACACGGATGAACTTCTCCAACCACGTGGGAGTCTGCGCGACGGAGCGGCGGTGGGTGAAGGCGTCAAAGGACGCGCGACCGCGGTAGTTGCCCGTGCCGGAATCACCGACGCCGCCGAAGGGGACAGTCGACATGGAGGCATGGAAGAAGCCGTCGTTGATGGTGGCACCGCCAGAAGTCACCTCGTTGAGGACTTGAAGCAAGTTAGTATAGTAACCTGTCTAGAAAACAATGGGCTTTACTTACTTCGCTTGCTCTCCTGATCATTGCCAAAAGCGAAGAGCGCCAGAGGCGTCCTGTATACCTGGTTCGCAATGTTGATTGCGTCGTCGAGGGTATCATAAGGCATGATGGCGAAAACTGGACCGAAAGACTCATCCTTCATGACGGAGTCGAGCATGGAATCGACCAGCACGGCGGTAGGCTCAATGTAGAGCTGGTCCTCGTCCAACCCACCACCCATGACAATCTTTCCGTTTGTCTCGTCAATCATCTTCTTGATGCGCTGGAAAGACTTCTTGTTGACGATACGAGAGAAGTCAGGGCTGTTCTTGGCGCCGCTGGGGAAGAACTCCTTGTAAGTAGCGTTGAGGCCCTGGATGAGTTCCTCGACGATGGCACGGTCAGCCAGGATATAGTTCTGAGAAATGCAGACCTGGCCGGCGTTGAGGCACTTTGACCACATGAGACGGCGAGCGGCGAGCTTGACGTTGGCGTTCTTGGTGACGAAAGCCGGGTTCAGACCACCCAATTCGAGGGTGACGGGCGTGAGGGTCTCGGCGGCCTTCTTGGAGATGATCTTGCCGACGGCAGTGCTGCCCGTGTACATGATCTTGTCCCACTTGACGTCGAGAAGAGCCTGAGTCTCCTGGACGGCACCGTTGATGACGGTGTAGGCCTTTGGGTCAAGAGCAACCTCGAAAATCTTGGTCAAAACCATGGCAGTGGCCGGGGCGCTCTCGGAAGGCTTCAGGACGGCGGTGCAGCCGGCGGCGATGGCGCCGATGATGGGAAGAAGAGTCAACTGGACGGGGAAGTTGAAGGCGCCGATGACGAGAACCATGCCCAGGGGCTCCTTGCGGATGCGCGGCTTCAAAGCGGCGTAGGTGAGAGGCACATCCTCGCACTTCTCCTCGGCGGCGAACTTGCTGAGGTTCTTGAGCATGTAGAGGCAGTCATTGGCGCACCAGTCAACCTCGGAGAGGACAGCCTCGTGCTTGCACTTCCTCAGGTCCTTGCGCAGGGCATCGCAGAGCTGTGGGGAATAGTCCTTGATGGCCCAGTAGAGCTTACGGAGCTGGAGAGTGCGGTACTTGAGATCCTTGGTCTTGTTAGAGCGGAAGGTAGCGCGGATGGTGTCTGTGAGGCGGTAGATGTCGTCGGTTGAGGTGTGAGTGAACTCGGCGATCTTTGTGTCGGTTGCGAGCGACATTTTGATGGCGTTGAGATGTGCGGTTCTTCAGTGTGTAAGGGACGGTGCTGCTTTCCTGGACTTCCTTTGTTGCGATGAACCGGACCTAGGGAGAGGAGAGGTTCGTGAGGGGAAGTTGGCAATGGTCGGGATTCGGGGTCGCGGAAAAGAAGAGGAGGTGGTGTTGGTGGTGGTAGATAGAGTTGTAAGGGTTGCCTCGACTTATGTAGTCCGAGTAGCAAATATCAGCAGCCAAGCCGATGCAGAGGGCGTCGGTAGCTTTGTAGGGGAAAAGTGATGGATGCGACAGAGCTCCACCGTGTGCTCGGCCTCCGTGTCGCGTGGGTGTAATGGATAGGTACCTTAGTACGTACGCGAAGTGAGGTACCGTGTAGCAAGGTAGAGAGGCACCTTGAATGTGCGGGCAGGGACTTCCGGGTTTAGAAACCTCGGCGCATGAGTGGCATAACAGGTGATGTATCTTATTAAGGAGAATGTAGGAAAAGGTCAACCGGGTCCTTGGGACTTGCTGAATTGTTCAGTGGTTGTCGAATCCTCACTTCTGGGATGTGACCAGCAATATTGTTATCCCGTGGGTGACGCGGAAAAAGAACTATCTGCAGTATTATGGGTGCAATGGCTGATGGCGGGACTTGTATGATGCGAGTGCGAGTGGTGATGTATTACTTGTCTGACCCGTACAGCAAAGAGAGGGGACGGGATAAGGTGAACGCTGGTGAGTGCAGGCAGGGGGAAGGGAGGCAAATGCGCTGCACTGCACGTTGGAAACGAACTCGTTTCCCCAAGAAGGCGCGGGCAGGGAAGCTACGGGAACGGTGCGGTGCGCTAGACGCATGTGAACGGCACCCAGCAGCACTGTTATCCTTCTTCCTTTCCCCTTCACGGTATACCTTATTAAAGGTAGAAAGGGCTACGACTGATCCGTACCGAATGGCGCCGCATAATAGGACGGACAGGGAAAGGAGGCATAGATGTCCCGACGGAGCGGGCTGCGACGGGGACACCGTCCCATCCTGTCCATGTCCTGCGCTGTGGTCCATCTGCCAACCGCTCTATCTTTTCCATAGATGATTATTGCTGTCGTGGTCATGGAAGCTCTTCGTTCTTCTCTAGTTTGTTCCTTGCTCAAGCTAGAGAACCTTTCGAAGAGGCCAACAGCTTCAGGTGAACCGTCCATCCTCACGGTCCATGTCAGATAACACTTAACAAGATTGACGAGCGCATGCTTGAGCTTTGAGGTTTCCTTAGCTAAAGTCCGAGGCAAAAAAAGCTTGGGAGCTCTAGCCAGGTCGCGCCAGGCTAACTTGGTTAAGACGGGATCACCCAAGACGGCGCCGCCGCTCGCCAATCCCGCTGCTCCGTTTCTTCCCCACATAGGTACAGGGCGCCACCCCCTGCCCATTTGCACCTGCACGATCTGGTCCTGGCCTGCCGTGCCTGCAAAAAAAATGGTGAGCAGGACATAAGGGGAATAAAATAGAAAAAAGTTGCCGAGGCATCATCACTCAACACAGTTGCAATCAATTGCGGCTGACTAAACGCAAGCAATCCCTGTCCTTGAAAAGGCGCGTCTATTTTCCCAACTCATGTCTAGTGGAGGTCCCCCCTTTTTTTTGTCGGTCGGTGCACTGAATATGATTTTAACCCCATTGTTTCTCTAAAAGTCGATTGGGCAAAATAGACATGGCCACGGAAAGCGGGTGGGTTCCATCCCGGATTGCTGTTCAACGAGATATGCATATTTGAATGACATTGACGGGGGCCGGTTTGTTTATTAATCAGACGAGAATAGATGTGCCAAAGAAGGGACTGTAACCCTCAAACTTTTTGGTCGTCAGTACAAGCTTCTGGTCTTATAAGCTTATGGCACAATTGAAATGATAAGAGGATGCTGTCAGCAATTCGTGGTTCCCGCCTGTGCTTGACAAGCTCTTCTCATCAGCCGGCATTATCCTACAACCAAGCCACGACGAACGAGAAAGCCTTGACTTGTCACATCATATAACATTGATACAGGCATCCAAACGCAAGCCACCGTTGTTTTTGAATTTCTATAAGTCCGATCTGGCACGGATGTATACATGGAGATGTTACAAGGGCAGGCCAAAGTCCCATAAACGGGACCACGCCGCCTAGTCATACACAAGGTTTCTGGTTCGCCCCCGACCAAGTCTGACAAAACAGATCTTGGACAAGAGGAACACCGAGTCTGCGGCACTCAAGCCGAGCAGTGGTAGTGGGTGATGGTGCAAGTACGATCTAATCCTCTACCGGCGGCCGAGACCCTTTTGCTTGTTACCGCCACGGCCCCGGACAGCCACCATCTCGGCCACCTTGCCCTCCGTCTCGGGCGGCGGCGCCGCGAGGAACTGCTCAATCTTCTCCGTGCCGTCGATGACCTGTCCCTCCTCCAGCTTGCCGGCGTCGATCTCGAGCGCCCGCAGGCGGAAACCGTCGAGCTCCTTGCGGCGCTCCTCGTTCATGCGCCACTCCTTGGGGAACTTGGGCTTGTTCTTGAAGACGTGGTGCCGCGTGTCGAGGGGGATGTCCTTGAAGTCATCCTTGGGGTCCTGTTGTAGAGTTTTCCATTGTTAGTCCTTGGTTCTTGTAACAAAATTTGACTTGGCAAGCGTATATCGGGGACGTATATGCACGTGAAATCGTGGAGACAAATGCTTACCTTGGCGCTGGCAATCAGGTCGTCTACCAAGTTGGAGAGGTAGCGCTTGTTCTGTGCCTGGTGCTCGTACTTCTCCGAGCTCATCTTGACCACGTCCGTCTCGGGGTTGTACCGCGGCCCGACAAGCTTGCGGAGCTTGTCCGCCTGCACGTCGGTGAGGCCCAGGTCGGCCGGCGAGAACTGCACAACCACCTTCTTCTCCGCCGGGTGGTGCTCGCCCATGTACGACGTGTACCGGAAGCGCAGCACCTCGTCCTCTTTGGGTGGCTCGAAAGGCTTGGCGAGCTCTGTTTGGATCCGTAGTCAGCACATCGTTCGTTCTGTCCATGTGGAGAAGGAGTGTGAAGGGGGGTTCTGAGGAGCTAAAGGGAGGAGCAGAAATGGGAATTGCAACGTACTGGACAGCAGCGGCATCTCCCACGCCATGATGCGGTGGTAATGTCTGTACTCGCGAATCTCGTCCAGCTTCCCGTGCGCCATGGGCGTGATGTCGTCCTCCTCAAACTCCTCCAACGCGGGATCTATCGGCGCCGTCGGGTCATCGTCATCGTACCAGAACGAATTCCTTTGAACCGGCATCCTCGGCATCTTCGACGATCTCAACGGCGGGAGCGGCCTCTGCTTCGCAATCCGCGCCTTCAAGGACTCGGCCACGGACATGGACTGGAACTCGGGGTCTTGCTTCTGGAGCCTCTCGAGCTTCTTCACCTCTTCGGGCTTGAGGCGCGCCACCAGCTCCTCGACGGTCTCGCGCTTGCGGTCGTACGGGTCTTCATGGATTTCTTCGCGTTCTTTCCGTGCCTGTTGCGTGGTGCTGGCGGTAAATGCTCGTCTCTGGGTCGTCGTCGCCGTCGTCGTCGTGCGGGCTGCGGCGATGCGCGGCGTCGATGGTACCCGACGACTGCTGCGGACGCAGAGTCGGAATGCTTGCCCTGTTGCTGCCATGTTGGGCGTGGTTCCGTTTACATTGGCCAGAGGACAATGCTGGTTTTCCTGGAATTGATCGCGCTCTGCTAAGATGGCCAGTTGGGAATTGTCCCCGGAAATTTTTGGATCAAGCTCCAGCCACACGCGACCCAGCAAGCCACATGTGTGGGTCCATGTGAGGTCGCCGGCGCCACAGGCAGTGTAAGTCGATTCAAGCATGCGCCTTGAGAATATTTAATATTTCAGCATCTGGATTCGTCAAGAACGCCATTTAGTTTCAGGTAGCTAGATAATACGAAAGCATCAATTATTATTCTTTTTTTTCTCATTCGGGCGGATACAGCGCATGTTCATTGAATTCAGTTTGTGATCTGTTATACTGTCATCATTAATGGCCAGTTCCAAACGAACAAATAGTCTCTTTTATGTCAATACTTCTCGAATTTTGCCGCTAGGTCAACTGGAACGCATTGGATCATCTTCCACGCCCGATTTCACGAACAATACTTTGACGATCATATTAAAAATTTCATTATGGTATCGTTAACTCCTTGCGTATCTCAAACAGTATCACTCCATCACATTGTACCCTTAAATGTATCATGCCACTCAAAATCCTGACGGTCTCCGGTTCATGATCCCCGTGCTGAACTGCTTCGCTTTGTCCAATGTGTTCTTCATCCCCAAGAAAGAGGAGCGATGGGATTTCATATCAGGTCTGCTGCGCGAAATGTTAGCTTTGCCATCGTACACAACGGGCTTTAGTATTGAGAGGAAACTCACCTTCCATCCTGACCAACCCACTCCTGTTGCTGCTGCTGCTGCTGCTGCTGAGGCGGCGATCCACTCATCGGACCAAAATATGACTGCTGCTGTTGACTACCCGCAAGAGGCGGGCTATTCTGCCACGCACCCGGCGGCTGGAACGGCAGATCCGGGAACGGCTGCGTCTTTTGCGGCGGCGTTGTCCCCGGGCTGTGCGTCGGTCTGTCAAACGACGACGGGTCGTATGGGGCGTGGTAGTCCACCGACATCCGGCCAAGGTTGGCCGCGGATGCGGCCGGCGGGGGTTGCGAAGCAGAAGCGAGGTGCGTCTGACTGGCGGCGTATCCCGCTCCTCCCTGGTACGTAGGCGCTCCCGGGTACGAGGTGGAGTTCTGGTACGAAGGGCGCTGGTCCATACTCGCCCTACGGAGCGCAGCCGACGGCGCCGGTGGTGAGAATTGGCTGTTTGACACGTTTGACGGCGCGGGTGAGGCGTTTTGGGTGTACGATGCGCCGAACGTCGTCGTGTTGGGCGCCGGCTTCCGTCGGATCGGGGCCTGGCCGGGCGAGAGGAGCGGTTCGCTGGCGGGCAGGCTCTCGGCTTGCGTGGCCCACTGCAGCGTCGGCTGCTTGACAAAGGCGGGCTTCGAGTAGGAGTCCATGCGGGTGAGCTGGTCGAATTCGTAGTGGCCCAGCTGCTCCTCCAGCTGTATTTGCTGGGAGTACCTGCGCTGGGAGGGCAGTTCCGCAATCGTCGTTGGCGGCATCTCCACGGGTTGCTCTCGCTCCGGCACCTTTTCTGGCCGGGGCGGTGGGGAGGTGAAGTTTTGAAGCAACGAGACCTGGGTGACGAGGGCGGCCTCGAGCTCCTCGGATAGCTCTCTCACGGGCCGATAAGCGCTTTCCTCGGACGCTGCTTCGTCGACTCTCTTGGCGCTGTTGGGGAATGACTCTGTCCGAGGGGTGTCTTCATCGCTGCCCTTGTCATTGTCTTCGTCGAAGACGTCGTCTTTGGCCTCAGAGCTCGTTGGCTGCCTGTCATCTT